GCACCTGCACTGCCTGCACCTGCACTGCCTGCACCTGCACTGCCTGCACCTGCACTGCCTGCACCTGCACTGCCTGCACCATTCAATTAGTAATGAAATTAATAAATGCCGATCTATAATTACCACTTCATTACGCATCATCTTTGTTGAAAACGAAGGTAAAATTTATAAATTTCTTGTGTTTTAACCTTACTAAACTCCTGCGTTTGTTCGGTGGTGTAATTTATTATTCGTTTACCTTATTCCTTATTCGATCATAAAGTATTACAAAAGTGCCTTTTAATGCTATAAAAGGTTTATTTTTGAGCCATGTTCAGTTAATCTTAGGGTTTTAATGCCAAAATACACGCAATTTTGATGAAGATTTGTGAAGGTTGGAGTTTATAAGCCAAATTACACGCAATTTTTATGAAGATTTATGAAGGTCTGAGTTTTTAAGCCATAATACACGCAATTTTGATCATGATTAATGAAAGTTGGAGTTTTAAATTCGCAAATCCTGCTCACCATCGCGCTGATGAGGCTCCCTATAAATCCGGTTAGGCGGCAGAGGCCAACAGCGGCGCCCGGGGCGCTGCCATGTGGGGCGCAGGCCTCTCACCGCCCCCAGCGGGGGCTGTGTACGTGTGTGTTGTGTGCATTGTGTAGTGTGTGTGTGCTGTGTGTGTAGTGTGTGTGCGTGTGTGTATTGTGTAGTGTATGTGCATTGTGTAGTGTATGTGCATTGTGTGGTGTGTGCATTGTGTAGTTTGCGTGCGTGTGCAGAGTAAAGTGTGTACAGTGTGTGTTTGTGGCGTATGCTGTGCGTGTTGTCTGTGCCATGGCTACACAGGCTACAGGCCATGGCTACACAGGCTACAGGTCATGGCTACACAGGCTACAGGCCATGGCTACACAGGCTACAGGCCATGGCTACACAAGCTACAGGCCATGGCTACACAGGTTACAGGCCATGGCTACACAGGTTACAGGCCATGGATACACAGGCTACATGCCATGGCTACACAGGCTACATGCATGTAGCCTGTGTGGAAGCAGTGTGTGTTTGCGTAAGCGTGTGCACACAATTGAACATGTGTGTGCCTTGTGTGCACATGTGCATGTATTGTGGTTGTGTGCAGTGTGTTGCTGTGTGGTGTTTGGCAGAAGTTGTTCTTTAATGCAGGTTTCATTAAAGACCAGAGAGTATTTCTTACTGACAATTTTCTTATTGTTTTTTTTTCTATTAGGCGAATTAAGCTTCTGGTAGGACTTGGAAAGTCAAATATCAAGTTTCCAAAGGACATTTTATTATATTTTACGACGTTTCGAATGCAACTTCATTCATTATCAAGAAAAGAGGAAGAGTTCTGCAACACTTGAATTTGAAATTTTGAAATGACTTTAATACAAACATAGGATATTATAATGGATACAGATTAAAAATCAAAGCTTGAATCACGAGAACAGTTTCAACGTCCGGACAAATCCCGGAGTTTGTAAATTAATAGCATCTTGCTTGAAGTTATTATTAATAATATTATTAGCAGTTAATAGCATCTTGCTTGAAGTTATTATTAATAATATTAATAGCAGTTAATAGCATCTTGCTTGAAGTTAATATTAATAATATTAATAGCAGTTAATAGCATCTTGCTTGAAGTTAATATTAATAATATTAATAGCAGTTAATAGCATCTTGCTNCATTGTAGCGAGACCCTCTCATTGTAGCGAGTGAGGGTCTCATTGTAGCGAGACCCTCTCATTGTAGCGAGTGAGGGTCTCATTGTAGCGAGACCCTCTCATTGTAGCGAGTGAGGGTCTCATTGTAGCGAGACCCTCTCATTGTAGCGAGTGAGGGTCTCATTGTAGCGAGATCCTCTCATTGTAGCGAGTGAGGGTCTCATTGTAGCGAGTGAGGGTCTCATTGTAGCGAGTGAGGGTCTTATTGTAGCGAGACCCTGAGTGTGGTCTGGAGCCTTATGTGTTCTTAATTCGGTCCTCCGGTCTGGAGGTGGCATGTTAGGCGGCGGCTCAAAGTCGTGCTGGTCAAACCGATGTAATTTACGTTCTTTATAATTTTACAACCTTCTTTATGGCAGGAATATTTGTAAATAACATTAGTTTCTTTCAATGAGACCGACTTTTTTCATGGATTTGTTTCATAATTAAATTCTTGGGTTTCATGTTTTTATAGTAAATCTGATATTTGGATTTTCAATTCCTATCAAAAATCTAATTCGCCGAATAGAGAAAAACAATAAGAAGTTTGTCGATATGAAATACTCTCTGATAATTGAAGTGTGTGTGTTTGTGCACTTTGTATAAACAATTTTTGTGCGTGTCTGTGTTGGGCGTCTGTGTTAGAGTGAATATACACATGAACACATATATGTATGGTACGTATATACTGTGTATGCAGCGTACGGCATTCCAAGATACCCTGAACAGTGAAGAAATGTGTTCATGATAAGTATGTAATGTGTATAATTGTGATAATTATATATTTTTTTGTAAAATTTGAGTATTTATATAACTTATTCAATTACGGTAATTATATAATATATACAATCAAAGTAATTATATAATGTATACAATAAGAGTAATTATATAATGTATACAATCACGGTAATTATATATTGTATGTAATCACGGTAGTTATATAATGTATATAATTTTGATGATTATATTACCTAAATAACTCACCGTTTTTCTCTCCCGTCTCTGCGCAGGTTTCCTGAGTCGAAACTCGCGCGCCTTTTCAACGGCAGCATCCCCATTGTGCTGGACTCGCTCAAGCAGCATTACTTTATTGACAGGTAACATTACCTTCTTATGTATGGTAATGGTGTGACAGGTAACATTACCTTCTTATGTATGGTAATGGTGTGACAGGTAACATTACCTTCTTATGTATGGTAATGCATGGTGTGTCTAATAAAATATAGTCTAATCCAATTTATTTTTAATGACTTGTTTTATGTGATATTGAATGGTAAATCCTGTTATCTATCCTAAGTAAGGCTGTGTTCACCGGCTCGAATATCATAGCTGTCTTATTTTTATTTATGTAATGACTGAATAATATCTGTATAGGCTGAGCGTGTGTAGTTATCTTCCTCTGTGTACTTGAGATTAATCTTGATCTTGAACATAGATTTTATTGTATCTTATTTGTATATTTTAGGCTCTTGAGATAGTATTGTTTTTATAACCCATGGGACGGCAATATGTTCAGACATCTGTTGAACTGATGTCTGTTTGTTATGTTCGCAGGGATGGCAAGATGTTCAGACATCTGTTGAACTATATGCGTCACGGTCGCTTGCTTCTACCCGACGATTTCTCCGACTTCGATTTGCTGTTAGAAGAAGCCAGATTTTTTGAACTGTCAGGTAAGCATAATTTGCTTGTCTCAAGTACAACTAAAAATACATTAGTTTCGCTACCAAAAATCGAAAAAATCAATTTAGAATCATGTTTTTACTGAAAACTTCTGCAGATCTTTACTCATTAGAATTGAATAGTTTTTTCTACAGTGGAAAGTCAAGTGTAGCAATTTGATCGTGGCAATTGTTTGTAATTTGGTCCTAAATAAAGTATATAATATTTTATATAGATATTATATGTATGTGTATATTTGGCCAAATATATTTGGTTTATGGGACGATGGTTTACACTACATAGAAATTTATGTTATATAAAAATTTTACATTAAAAAAAAACAAATTATATAAGATACACCGTCAAAGACCAGACGATAGGTCGACCCAAGTTTCTCTCTTCACTGAACTTCACAGCATTTTTTGCGATAAAATTACTACACTTTATTAAGTTAAATTATTGAAGTAATGTAAAAAATTCAAACAAAAGTTAGTGATACAAAGTAAATAATTATTATCATGCTATAAACTAAACTTTTTAGATATATTTATTGATTATTTTTCCAGGTTTGGTTCGTCAGATTGAAGAGTTGCGGAGACAGAGGAATTTCAGAAGCAAACAACAAATCTACAACAACAACAATAACATCAGCAGCAGCAGCAGTAACTGCAACAGTAGCGGCAGTAACTGCAACAGTAGCGGCAGTAACTGCATTTCAGAGTCTGAAGGCGTGACTTCATGTGGAGGAAATTTCGTTAACGGCGTTAAAAAGGAAAACTGCGCCCACGATGTGCGTTATCTGAGATAAAAAAACGATAACGAATTATCACCCATACTGACAATTGTTATACATCATCAAGGCGATTATCACCTGAGATTGTTATTTTCAATTCTAATAATAGCCTTCAAATGGAATTCAGAAAAATGGCGGTCGATGTCATCGTATATATTACAAATTATCTTTAATTGCTGCAATACTTCCCGAAGATTTCAAATAAAATTATAAAAAAACAGCGATCGATGTCATTGTAAGTTACAATATTGCAATTGTAATCCCTCCCCTCCTCCCCCTCGCAGGTGGTTGCCATCAACGTGTCCCCGGACCTGGGGGAGCGGGTGATGGTGAGTGGGGAGCGGGGGGTGGTCGAGGAGCTCTTCCCCGAGGTTGCGTGTGACGTCATCGAGGGGAGGGGGGCCATGGCCTGGAACCACGACCCCAAGTTCATCATCAGGTGAGTGGCCCCACTCAGTGGGGAAGAATGGGGCCCCCCTCGCTGGCGAGTGTGCCCCACTCGATGGAGTGGAATAGCCCCACTCGCTGAGTGTGGTGTAAACCGCCCACTATAACCTTATACACCGCCTAGTGATGAGGTTAAATAGTATAAACAGTGAGGTTATACTATGAACATGAGTTCCACAATGAACATGAGTTCCACAATGAACATGAGTTCCACAATCATGAGTTCTACCTGTCTCTTATACACATCTAGATGTGTATAAGAGACAGGAACATGAGTTCTACAGTGAACATGAGTTCCACAATGAACATGAGTTCCACAGTGAACATGACTTCCTCAATGAACATACTCGCATGTTCTCATCTCACATGTTCTCAGCAGGTCTCCATAATGAACATGTTCTCATCAGATGTCTACAATGAACATGTTCTCATCAGGTCTCTACAATGAACATATTCTCCCCAGGTCTCTGCAATGAACATGTTATCATCTGACATGTTCTCCCCAGGTTCCCCCTGAACGGCTACTGCAAGCTGAACTCCATGGAGGCGGTGCAGCGACTCCTGAGCGCCTCCTTCAGAGTCCTCGCCAGCAACGGCGGCGGGGTAGAGGGCCAGCAGTTCTCAGAGTACATATTCTACCGTCAGCGCTTCTGAGCACCAGCCGTGCTGAGGGCCAGCAGTTCTCTGAGTACATCTTCTACCGTCAGCGCTTCTGAGCGCCAGCAGTGCTGAGGGCAGCAGTTCTCTGAGTACATCTTCTACCGTCAGCGCTTCTGAGCGCCAGCAGTGCTGAGGGCAGCAGTTCTCTGAGTACATCTTCTACCGTCAGCGCTTCTGAGCGCCAGCAGTGCTGAGGGCAGCAGTTCTCTGAGTACATCTTCTACCGTCAGCGCTTCTGAGCACCAGCAGTGCTGAGGGCAGCAGTTCTCAGAGTACATATTCTACCGTCAACGCTTCTGAGCACCAGCAGTGCTGAGGGCCAGCAGTTCTATTTTCGCTTTAAATGGATATTTTCACAACAAATTCGCAGCAGTTTTAAAGGAAGAACGTAATAAACAATATGAAAAGAAAAAAGAATAATAATAAATAATTAGGCTGTAATGATAAATAAGCTGGACTAAATTACTATTTGCAAAAAGGGCAAGTTTAATTGAAAGCATTGAAAACTTAGTGTGTAATAGCCATTTAATCTGACATTGTTATTGTTTTAGAAGTTATTTACACGCTGGGCTTGTGTTGTAGCAACATTTGTGCTGGGGCCACATTTGTGCTGGGGCCATATTTGTGCTGGGGCCACATTTGTGCTGGGGCCACATTTGTGCTGGGGCCACAACTGGGCTGGGGCCACATTTGTGCTGGGGCCACATTTGTGCTGGGGCCACATTTGTGCTGGGGCCACATTTGTGCTGGGGCCACACTTGTGCTGGGGCCACATTTGTGCTGGGGCTGATGTCTGTGCCATAATTACGTAAGTTTCCAATGTTCCTCCATCATCAAATGTTAGATCATTTCTATCGAAATCATCAAATGATAAAACCATTAATTGAATTAAAACCGTTAATTAAAAACCAATAATAATATTGCACGACATACCAACAAATAATTGGATTATAATATATTAATATACATGGTATAAAATCCCACCTCCCCTTCACTAAATATTGAGTTCCGTGCGAGAACTAAGATAATTAAAATACACTATATACTTTTTGTCATCATATGTGTACATAATGGCATGCTTTATGATGCTGCACACAATGTGTAATTCAGTGCTGTACACTCCCACATAAATGAATGGGTTAAATTGACCTAATAACGACACACTTTTTACCTACAGCACTAACAGAAAGCGGACGTACGGTAGCACTGCTACGCTCATATAAGTGGGCCAAACTGGGTCAGAATGACCCACGCAAGGGTAAAAAGTGCATCGTTATTTGGACAAAGTCCCATTCATTTGTCCGCTGCAGTTTATGTGTTAGTTGTGATTTTCAAGGTGAAAGCGATTGGCAAAAAGTTAATTTTTGGCCACCTGACATCTGCTCTAGGAACTTATACTCAAATAAATGAGTGAGATTTTGTCCAAATTTCGATGCACTTTTTGCCCTTGCATGGGTCATTCTGACCCAGTTTGGTCCCGTTAAATAGGCGCATCAGTGCTACGTCCGCCCTCTGCTCGTGCTGGAGGTAAAAAAGTGCTCATTATTTGGGCAATTTCGACCCATTTATTTCTATGAGAGTAAAACAGTTCTAGGTATCGTGTCTGCCAAGGTAATAATTACCTCGCTATTTAGTTTGGTTATTTACCATGCTAGTTTGTGTGGTTGCTATATGGTAGTGTTCACTAGTTTTAGTTATTGAAGTTTCTTCTTAATTTTAATTTATCTTCGATCGTGCCATTTTGTGTCCAACGTCGCGTGTCTGCAACTCCAAACGCTGTCCAGTTTTGTAGGATTTCTTGAATTAGATTTTAAAATGAAGAGGGTATAATATTTTAAATTGTGATTGCATTAAAATTCGACATTATAAATGATTCAAGATATTTATAGGCCAGGATATGAACAATCTTCACAGTAATCATTTGGTAAAAGATGAATATCTAGGGTATACCGTACAATATCTAAGGTATACCGTACAATATCTAGGGTATACCAGATAATATCTAGGGTATACCATACAATATCTAAGGTATACCGTATTAAGGTATACCGTACAATATCTAGGGTATACCCGACAATATCTAGGGTATACCATACAATATCTAAGGTATACCGTACAATATCTAGGGTATACCATACAATATCTAGGGTATACCATACAATATCTAGGGTATACCATACAATATCTAGGGTATACCATACAATATCTAGGGTACACCATACAAAGATGAATATCTACTCGGCAGAAGGGCTACGGTCAGTGCTTAGTGCAGAAAAAGTGAGTCACAATTTGGACAACACAACCCATTAATTTTTTTGAGTTAGAGCGATCCTGATAGCAGCCCGTATGTACCCTCAATATACGAACATTTTTTTTACTGCGACGTATGCGAGTTGGACGAAGATTTTTCTGTTTTTCTATTAATATTTTTTGTTATTTTTATCATTTAATTTCGAAATTTATTCAGATAATTTATAAATAAACTTTAGAAAAAAATACGTTTGTGTATCCTTTTCTTAAGGAAATTCTATAATGTTATCAGTTTTATAAAAAATGATCACATTTCAGTGGACGTATTACATTTACATGATGGTCTCGTTTTTACGTGGCACCAAAATCATCGTAATTTGAACGGCTTTAAATTTATCGCATTTTCATTACAGTAAATTATTATTATGAATTATCAATATTTATTATTTAAAAATGTAAATGTGACGCGTGCGCTAACTTCGAATTTACAGAATTATTCTCGAGAAAATGAAAGGTCGTATTTTTGCCACTTGCCTGCCAGTGTTGCGCTTTTTTCACCCAAAGGAGCTGGAAAGTTTCAAAAGTAATCCATATATTCTGAATAATACCTAAAACATAACATTAGTAAATAGTTTATTATATGTGCAAGTAATTATCGGTTTCTTTTCAAATCTAACAAAGAATTCCAAGATTTATTACCACACTGACAACTGAACGACCGAACTGACAAAAATCGGGATGGCCGCGTCGGCCTTTTTTCCGGCTAAATTTGACGATTTTAGCCTATTTTAAATTTCTTTGGTCAGTAAAAAATGTGTTTTCATTAGGTTTATTGCATTTTAAAATGTAGAACGTAACAAAGAAAGCAGCATTAAAGCTCATTTTACAAATTCAATAATAAATACTCAACGTTGACCTGCATTGGATTTTTTTCTGAGCGAATTTTGTCGTTTTGTCTTGTCACGTTCTGGCAAGTCGGAAGAATAAAGACTGCCAGTAAGCACGTAACCGTGATTAAGGTACGGTTATGAAGGGTGTCGTGATAATGAAATATTCCGGCGAGGTTGAATACCATTTTGCAAAGGTAATTCAATTTTCTGTCTGTCTTTTGTTTCCATTTTCCTTGCATAATTAAGGTTGTTGATGGATTTTAACGTTTTTGATTAATCAGAATTTGGCCATCGGCTCTAATTTTGAAGACGCGGTGACCCGAACTACCAAGTTCGGGTCACCGTGCTTAGTTTCTGGTAACATTGGAATCAGTTTATTTCAAAGCCATTATCTAAAGGGAAATATTTATAAAAAATTAAGTAAGTATTTGTTTAGTCAATATGTGGATTACGAGACAGAATAAGCGTATACCTTCAATTTCGTTAATCGTGTTATAAGTAAATATCTCGCCTCACGCCAGACGTGCCCGGAGTCCCAGACGTCAATGTCACTTGAGTCGCCAGAGCACTCAAGTCGCCGGCATTAAATTTTAACCATGTATTTTATAAACAAAATTGAATCACAATTCTATCGAGATCACAACTGATTCATGGTTATTTTGCAGAAATTCAAACCTAAAAATCGTAGTTCTGGCCAGTATTACCATACGTTCTTAGTGGTGACTCGTCTGTCGGGGTCGCCTGCCGAAGACCACCACTGCCCTGGATGTATTGGACCATCATGATTCCTGCCTGCCGGAACGTAGCCTTCAACACTTTACGCCGTCCGTATCTAGGCCGTGGGTCGAACCAGCCGTGGGTCGAACCAGCCCTCGGTCGAACGGCCACTTGTCGAAGGACGATAAATTTTGGAACAGAACTATGCTATCTGAAACCTAACCTCAGATGCGGTGAACGTAAAATTACGTAATTTAACGATGCCCGGAAGACAGATTGATACGCGGCATGGCGGTGTACGGCAGGTTCTATGCGAGGCCGGAGGAAGACAAAGCCAAGTGGTTCACGGCTGATTGGTGGATGTCCGGAGAGATCCAAGGCGTTCGATTCAGGGCTTATTGGTGCACACAATTGGTGGTGACCGGCTGCGCTCTCGTCTGTTGTCTAAGTGGGTAGATAGTTTGATGATGATGATTATCGGAGGGTAACTTATAACAGAGGAACTTTCGCGTTCAGCTTTACTACAGGAATAAACCTTGTCAGCTCTCACTATACTGATGTTAAATCACGTTTGGCATGATGTCATTAGTTAAAGACAAGTTTTTAAAATATATGTATACTCATGGTCTATACAAGGTCCCCGAAGGATTACTAGAATTTGAAACAAGAACCAATACCAGGGGCCACGGCTATAAGCTAAAAAAACTGCGCTGCAACTTCTCCACGCGACAAAATTTCTTCTCGCTTCGAATCACCGACATGTGGAACAGCCTCCTCGATGACATCGTTGGCGCTCCAAGTATGAACGCATTCAAGAACAGACTAGATAAAGCTATGGAAAAATATATGTTCAGATTTGAAATGCCTGGCACCATATCGAACCCGGTGGAGATCTAGTAGCTATTTCAAACTATCGTCAGTCGTGAAAAGATCCGGTCAAATGACACGATTTTAGATCTTCTGTGAACAAGGCACGAAAAGGATAAGAATCGGCGACAGGCCACATAAGGCCTACGCTTTAGCGCCTAGATCACTATGTTATGTTATATGGGTGGAAATCTAGTTAGAAATTCTGGAATGCGGTTAGCGACGTTTATGTGATCCATGAACGCAATGAGCTCGTGCACGAGCAGTAAGATAGGACTAATTAGTTCTGAAGTATCTTTATGAAACTATAGCTATAAAGACATTAATTTGTAAAATCAATTAAACCTTTGCAACGTTTTCTGGTTAGTCATTCCATAACGCTGGAAAAGAACTTGACCCCGGCTCGTGGACTGCTCATTTCCTAAATTTGATTTCCAAACGGCTTTGCATTAAATTGAGTTGAAGACAAATATAAAGTGTTTTTTTTTCGAAAATCACTGCTACAAACTGTGAATGCGCTTATCAGTGTTTAAGCGCGACGAGTTGTCTGGGTGAAAGACTCTGGCGACTAGAGCATAGCGGCATTTTGTGAATACTATTGAAGTTTTTTCGGTTTGAAGCAGTTATCGTTGCAATAATTGCTGCAGTCGTTACGTTATACGATGCTCGAGCAAGCTTTATTAGTAATGGCCATTGTTACACGAAACTAAACTTACGCTGCAAAAGTTGCGGACACCGTTGCACGATTCAAGCGTGAACATCACACCTTGTTAAAGCCTTTGGCGATTACGTCTTCCCAAGAACCTGCGACTGAAACGACATCTAAGTTAGGCTCCGCTTTCATCTCAGTACACATAGCGATCTCCGTGCATGTTGTACTTACAGCAGCCTTAGTACACGTAGCGGCCTTAAAACACGCAGCGGCCTTTGAACACGCAGCGGCCTTAGAACACGCAGCGGCCTTATAACACGCAGCGGCCTTAGAACACGCAGTGGCCTTAGAACACGCAGCGGCCTTAGAACACGCAGCGGCCTTAGCACACGCAGCTTTATAGAACACGCAGCGGCCTTGGAACACGCAGCGGTCTTATAGAACACGCAGCGGCCTTATAGAACACGCAGCGGCCTTGGAACACGCAGCGGCTTAAGTACACGTATTTGCCGATTTTTCGTCCGCGTGATCGTGACTGGCGAGTTTAGCTTGAAAACCGTCGATGATTGACTGGCGGAGTTACGAACTCCCTGACCCCTGACGTCATCAGTGCCAGCAATAAGAGTTTTGAATAATGTCCGCTCATAAGAAATCGTATTTCAGGCACGAATGATCGATTTTATGACAAACATTGACTGGTTGAAATTAATGTTATATCTAGGATTTAACGTTATGTGAATGTCTATTATGCTAATTGATCGTACTTCTATTTTAGTTTAGAGTTTCCTAACTGACAATGAGGCTGGTCTTAAAATGGTTTACTATTAAGTTATACCTAATGAATTTTGCGGCTTTTCCTTAGCTTCAAATTTTTACTGCATCTATGTATTCGTTTTAAAGTGATAAGGATAATTTGGAAGTAGTTGGTTACGTAAATGTTGTCCCCGTTCATTTATTCAAATTTTCATCTAAAGCTTGGCTATAATTGAATTATTGATGTAGCAATAATAAGTAAAAAAATCATGAAATCAGTAGCATTATTCGTTCAAGAAGTTATTTAAGTCTGCCAGATTTTTCCTAGAAAAAGCCCAGATTTATAAAAAAATAGAAACTTACCTGCAATATCTTTCAGCTAATCCTGCAACAGCATTTTTGTCGTATCCATTGATATATGAATATGGCAATTAAATTCTATGTTTCTTTTTATCTAACTTTAGGCCATTACTTCTTCCGTGAAAAATCTCAACCTAACTTGAGAAATATTTGTATTTACACATATAAAATTATTTATTTCTATTGACAAATTTACAAACTGCAGAGAAATTTTCTCCAAACTCTCACTTCACTCGAGAATTTTTATTGGATATATGCTTCGGCTCTCGTAGGTCATGGGCATAGAATCACTTTTTCAAATTTGAATTAAATTTTATGGAATGTGTTATGTGTACTATTTTATTAGCGGCATTTATCGTTCTCACACAGTTTGGCCCATTTTGAAATTGCCTTTTCAATTTTGATAGGTATTCGACTGTTTTGTGTTTACATCGCTAATTGCTGAAATTTTTGTTCGAAAAATCAAAATGTCTTCTTTTTTTTGCCACTTGGCCATAAATGAAGCTTTTCACGCGATAAAGGCTCAATAATTTTCTTTACCACTTAATTTTACTTACTAAATTGGTAACAATTCATGATGATTTGATGATTAGACTGAACGATCGTAACGACCCATTATATTTCAAGCAAATATCTTGACTGTACTAAAAATTTGGATTCTTAGGGAGTGAAGACGAGCTTGTTCAGTTCATTCAAATTCATAGTGAAGAAGCTGAAGCTTGATGAAAGTGAATCTTTCTTCAGTGCAATCTTGAATTAGAGATAATTTATTTATCCAATACGTGATAATTATTATTATAAGATAGACGTTTATCTCTTATCGATGAAGGTGATATCGACCATAATGAAACGAAAATAGTTTAAAACTAAGGGATAATATTGATATGTTGGGTCCCTAGCATTTTACTTGCGAATAAAACCGGCTTCGCGAATTCGGTTTGCTGAATCAATTCTAAAATTTTTCTATCGTTAAGTGCATTTGAAGAATAACTTAGTTTCTCCAATTCAAAACACTGGATAATATTGTTTATATTGTGTTCCAGTATTAATAGTTCAGCATAACTAAATTACTCGTGTATGATATAAAATTCCTGAAAACACATGAAGTAAGGAACGTAAATAATACTTCCATGACGTACAAGTTTGTTTTTAATCTCATGTTCCTGCCCCAATTAACATGGAGCACACAAGTTTTATTAAACGCAAACCAAACCTTAAGAATTTCTTTACATCGCAACATTACCATAACATGCACCAGCGAACTAAGTGAAGAATTGGGTGAGTGATGTTGTCTGTAGATGAACAATATATGTATTAATATATATTTAGCGAGAGATTTGTACAAGTTCACTACCTGCATCTAACCTTCCCTGCAGCAGGCCCATCATCACACTACAGGACCCTCATCACACTGCAGGTCCCTCATCACACTGCAGGTCCCTCATCACACTGCAGGTCCCTCATCACACGGGGATGGAAGACATTACAACATCTATCATACACTCAAATAAATGAGAGACGTCGTCCAAATAGCGATGTATTTTTTGCTCTCGTGCATTTTGGCCCAGGAAAATAGAATAGCAGCGCTAGATTCATATATGTAGTATCACCATTTTGACAATTTGACACCTTTATTTTCATGAGTGAATAACGAGTCTAGCAATTCTGTATTTTATTTTTCTGTAGACGAGTAGTTAAAAAAATTATTTACTGCTGCTAAGGCATTTTTTCGAGACTAGTACTAAGAAAATAAAAGGATCAAGTACAACGATTTACGGCACAGTTTGTCGTTAGTCGCGGCCCAGTTTGTCATTAGTTGCGGCACAGTTTGTCATTAGTTACGGCACAGTTTGTCATTAGTTACGGCACAGTTTGTCGTTAGTCGCGGCCCAGTTTGTCATTAGTTGCGGCACAGTTTGTCATTAGTTGCGGCACAGTTTGTCATAAGTTACGGCACAGTTTGTCATTAGTTACGGCATAGTTTGTCATTAGTGGCGGCGCAGTTGGTCATTAGTGGCGGCGCAGTTTGTCATTAGTTGCGGCACAGTTTGTCGCATCTGCGCTCAAAAAAATTTATCGGATAAAACTTTCTACTGGAAATGATCTGTAATTTTTTCACCAACAAATCACAATTCACATTACAAAAAGTGTCGACCGAGAAATTCTATTCTCAATTTTATACTCTAATAATAAGAGAGATAAGATTAGTGAATGTAGCGTCAACATATTTAGTGAAATGTTAAGGCCTGCAGCAAACTATTTAGTAGCTATAACGAATATAAAGGAATAGGAAATGATGAACAACGACTTGAGAATCCAAATCAGCTGCTGAACAAATAAACGGACTAATAATCGTACTAAAAATATGCAACAAAACGCAGAATAAATTGATTAGTAAAAATAACAACTTCTCTGTACAACAAGTACGCTTATCACTAATATATGCTTTATGTAATGCTTCTTGGTATTACATTACTTGTACTATCGAAGTTTTGATTCATGGAACTTGTACAGTCTTCCTGTGTCAGGAATTTGCTCAAGTGATGTGTAGGTACAGAGAGCAGCATGTTGAAGCTAGATTCCCACCATCTGACGTTGAAATAACGTTGACTAAACGATTGTTCTGTAATATTACCTCTTGATCAACGTTATTTTAACGTCATTTTCCTAGGAGACAGTATCACAGTCTACAAACTAGTATACTAATAAATGTGACAAAGTTAGGACATTTTACTCGAGTCTGATTATTGAACAGTTCGTTTTAGCTTAAAAATAAAACATTTATTGCATAGCATGTCTTCGGCATGTCTTCATTGCTGTCATGATATTTAATTGTCAATATGATTTGCTAATTAGGTTTGAACAATTCTTCCGATAAGATCAAAGCAAATCTAATCGTCTTTCAATTTTGTTCAAAGTCTCAGCATAACAAAATGTATTTTCCTCGTGTCATGAAATAAGCTCGGCGTTTTCGTAACTTGTTCCTCTATTTCATTGTTCCGGCTCTAAATATATAATTTTTAATAGACTTAATTTTTTGTTTGAGAAAAAATTTTTACATTTTTTGTTGGAAAACTGATTTTTAAGTTTCCTCAAACAGTGACAGCGTTGAACTATAAATGCAGGGAGCGGAGATTAGACCGTCTCTATACAAGGTAGGAATTACCGTTTACTCAATGCTCTCTTTAACTTTAGACAAATAATGGAAATTATAACGCACGTCGTCACGCAGAACCATGAGCTAAAAGGAAGCCAGTGAGCACAAATACAATGAAAAAGCTGCTAGTGTATCAGAGCTTACATTACCAAGTCCCACTAGAAGCGTATAGTCTATACTGTCATGACGCTGTTATATATATGTAAAGCTTGTTATAGAAATCCAGTCAGTTATTCAATTCTAGAATTCTAGCTAATTATTCTACAAAAACACTAAAATATTAACTAAATTCTATAGGCAGTAAGCGACTAAACTAAACCTGTAGGTAGCACGAGTACACAGTCCCCGTTTTCAAACACATTACAATATATATATATATATATATATATACGTACAATAAAACCTTTGTCAATAAACGCATTACACTTCGTAAATGCTTATTCAACAACGCATATTACATTTCGTTAAGTTAATAAATTGCTTCTATACAGGATTCCTTGAAATAAAAAATTCATCTCGAGTTATAGGTAACTAATTAAATCACGTGTTCAATTATTTACACGTCGATGACGAAAAATATATTCAGAGTATAACTTACCAGCATTGTAACCGCTAATAGTAAAACTCTTACAGTAAAACATGAATATGGTGTTCTTAGTTCAATAATTCCCAGGACACAAATTATTCGTAAAAATATTGTATCGTAATGTATGCAATAAATGATGTTTGTTGAAAACAAATGTGGAACTTCCCCAAATGTGGAACTTCCCCATTGTTGAAAACAAATGTGGAACTTCCCCATTGTGGAACTTCCCCAATACAGAGCGTCTCGTAAAAGACTCACGATCATGTGTTCGAGAAATATGCTTGAAATAAGAATAAAATATTATTGCTTATTTGTTTAGTAAACAAACCAATAGAGAATATTCAGCGTATTGAATAGTAATTGATGAATAGTATTTACTGTACACACTCATCACAATGTAAAAATACAACACACGTGGTTCTCCCCGTAAACGTTACAATGGTTTACGATAAATGTGTACAAATAAATCGACGTATTAAAATTTGTGATTATAAAAACATAGAACAATTATCAGATCATCTTGAACATTCTCGTAACAACGTAAACACAAATAATTCCCATGAACAACACGCACAAGGTTTTCAGAATCAACATGCACAATACACATTTTATACTCCGATCATTATTCACTTCATGAGTGAATAACGAAAATGTAGGTTCCTTGCAGACTGTGCTACGAGTGTAATCCACAGGCATTTTTTGCAGGCCCCTCTGCAAAATTTGTGAACCTCATACATCATGAATAATATGTACGTGTCTCACCCACAATGAATAATATCTCTAAACCTTACCCATCCATATATCTTCCCCATAACATCACTGTACCTCACGTATGAGTAATATCCCTGCACCTGACCCATCATGAGTAATATTTATGCACCTCATCCATGAGTGTGTCGATGGTATCCTCGTTCATAGGTACAAAAGTCTTCTGTTGTCTGCTGAAGTAGTGGATGTCCCCAGAATAAATGTCGAACCAAAAGGCGTGCAGGTAAACGCGGCCTTTGGCCAGCCCGTCACGCATGAAGTTGTAGCTGGCGATGTTCTGTAGCTGCTGGAGGCAGTTCACCTGCAACCAAATTAATTTAGAACTGCAAGAAATGCACTTTAAACTGCAAAATAATGTACCGGTAGGCAGTTCACCTGCAAGAAATTACCGTGTAGCGGTCACTTTTACCTCTTGGGTCTTCCAAGTTTTGGCGGTTTACTCAATACTCGTATTTGAACTGCTCTTCTTAGCCGGGTCGTAAAATCGTATCTTTAATTTTTAATCTTGACCGGCCAGAAACTGAGTCGCATTTACAATGTTAAATGTCGTTGCATTAAGCTCGTATCTAAGATTGTAAGATGATAGTTACATGTAGAAATATTAATTTTAATAGCTTCTATTAATTAAGAAATAGGCTGAGTCCCCTACTAAACTACGAGATAAATAATAAATTTCGTTTCCAACAGAAAAAAGCTACTAAATGCATGACTTCCTTTAAATATATTTTTTCAACTAATGTAGCACTTGTTGATTAATGGATCGATCGAGCCCACCTACTAATAATACATTAGCAAAAAGGTATTAAAATATATTTTATTAAATAATAAATTGTACAGATTTTAATGAATGATATATTTTATTTCCAACTGATCAGAGCTGAAAAAATGCATGGCTGCCCTGTAATATATTTGCTGACTTTTGACTAAAATAACGACTTCTATTCGAAATGTATGAATTGATAGAGCAAACCTACTAGATAAATAATAATATTTTATTTCCAACAGATCGAAACAACAAAATTAATTGGCTCAATTAATTATTAATTAGTGTTCAATTAATTGTTAATTGATAATAACTGCCTATTCTACCTATTTTTATTCTAATATTTTTTCCAATACACCGTAACTTGAAAATGCACGCAGCGCCTCACCTGCGATAGCTTGTCTTCGGGGGAGAACTGGTCGTCAGGGTCGATGTAGGCCACGAACCTACGTAACGGCGTCTCGCCCTGCACATCAACCAGGGGGAGTAATTACAATCAAAATTAAAAATACTTAGCCAATTCATTTAAAAAGGGGCATTATTATTATTATTTTCTCAGGGCAAAATACATTATTATATATGTTATTATAATTAATTTTGAGCCAAAATAATGTGCGTTTTGGCTATTTTGCATGTTAAAAATATTAGAACATTAAAATAAAAATCCGTATAACAGGTTAATAAAAACCGGAATAATTAGTGATATGTGGGATTAACTGGAGAAGCCGATGGGGTAACAATCTCGTAATTATTATTGAAAGTATGGCATCAGAAGACCATATGTACCTGAAACACGAGCGGTTGCTTGAAGTCGTTGAGTTCGAGTTGTGCGTATTTAATGAGCGAGTCATGGCCGTGTCTGACCAGCCATGCCTTCAGGGGAGACTGCTTCACAATCTCCCGTGTTGACATGTCACTGTTGCGCAGCAGATGAAGCATGTTCATCGCCTGAAAATAATGGTTTTACCATAATAAAACATACTGTTTAAATTTATTCTATTAGAACTCCGATTGGTTACTTCGGTCTTAGTGGCTTAAAAATAAATAATTATTAGATCCAGTAGTCTAAACAATTAATCAGATCTTATATCGGCTTCCCAACTTTGCGTCCAAACAAGATAATTCTATTGAGTAATCCGATCAATTACTTCGGTCTTTGTGGCTCCACAACCTAGCATCCAATTTATAGATTATTCTTCTTATCAATAGTTCGATCGATTGCTCCGGGCATTACAGAAACATATTTGGCATACTTCACAAGTATGCTAACGAAAATATATAATTGTCATCCGCCGTTCAAGGAAGCCAGGTTCAGCGAAATGAATTTGCGTTTCAGAAGGAATAATCTATAGGAATAATTATTTTATATTCACAGCGTCAGCAGAGAGCGACCGTAGCACTGATACGCCTCCCTGCCGGGTCAAACTGGGTCAGGATGACCCACATAAGTGACAGAAAGTGCATCGCTATTATCGCTATTTAGAAACCAGGTTCGTCCTGATCCGGAATGCAAAAATGTCCTACAGCACAAGAAGAAGTTGAATTGATCATCTGGATCTTTGGTTCCTCGTTCGTTCTGCAATTCGTCCTCTTATTTATTATCTTAGTTAAAATACACCTGCTATATACCGTATCATCGTATAGGCCATACCATACATCGAAGCAACACTATGGGTTAAGCTGCTGGTTAAAAATAAAACTATGTGGCTTAAGGATCATGAAAGCTTATTTTATATCTTCACGTACGTCGATATTTTACTAATTAATTTGGGTGAGATATATGGTTGAAAAAATGTTATTTCGTTGCACGTCTAAAGTACGTCATTCACGCTACAGATGACGCCATTCACGTTACAGATGACGTCACTCACGTTACAGATGACGTCATACACGTTACAGATGATGATGACGTCATTCACGTTACAGATGACGTCATTCACGTTACAGATGACGTCATTCACGTTACAGATGACGTCATACACGTAACAAATGGCAGCAAATTGAATGCTGATGTGATATGACCCCACCGCCCGTCAGTACACCGTAAGTAAAAGACTCAAGCGAGTTCCTTATTTTAATTACTTCATCATCGCTAATCAGCCCAAAACCCCAAATAGTCAATATTCCTAATTTCTTTTACATACTTTATTTAAATATCTTATACGAGCGATTGAACGGGTGGTTTATTTTAAAGGATATGTAACAAAAAAAAAATAATTTACTTGGAATTTAATGTAAGATACAAATTTTGACGTCTTGACGCGGTTAACAGCAAATATCTAAACCGTGTATTTAATAAAACAAAGAATTATGTTAGTAGATTTTTAAATGGATTGATTCTTGAATTAGAAAAAAAGTACTTTTAGTTCACTGATTGTGAAGTGAACTAATAGCAATCTTGCAATCTGATTATTCCTACACGATGTGGCTTATGTTTCTACAATTTCATAATATAAGCTAATATTCAGGTGAATTAAAGAGGACGCAAAAATAAATAGCGGCTTACCCTGCAGTCCGAGTGGCCGTGCAGGATACAGACGTTTCTCTAATTTAATATAAGTAATTGATAATCAAATTAACTTTCATTGTGACGTGAAATACGGTACAGTTGGCAGCACACGACGATGTGCAATTTTCTTCAATTTACAGTATAGATAATTAATGTTATTATTAATTATGACGAAAAAGATTACTTGCCTTACAGTCGGAGCGGCCCCACGCGAGGACGATCAATTTACTCTTATGTACAGTAAAATTAATGGATATTCTAGTTAATGGTAACAAAATAAATAACGACTTGCCTTGCAGTCTGAGTTGCAGCACACGATGACGTTAATATTTTTTAATACAGTTGAATTAGTATTTACTGTATATAATTTATTCTTTTTAATTAATTGTAAGTTAAAGAATAGTATAAGTTACCTTACAGTCAGAGTGACCGCACACAATGACATGCTTGATGCCGTTGATGACACAGCCGAGCTCCAGCGCTGCAGGCTCCGTGGTGATCTCCTCACCCCCACACAGCATCGCGTGCGGCACCAAGTTGCCTGCGTTACGTACTGTTGAAACGTTGCAACCAATTACAACCTGCATGCTTAGCACAAATTACAACCTGCATGCTTAGCACAAATTACAACCTGCATGCTTGGCACAAATTACAACCTGTGTTTAAACCATTTACAACCCATGGTATTGAAATCAATTAGACTCTGTGTTGCTTTAACCAATTATAACCTACTTTGTGCGGGGGATACACCATTGACCGAGTACAGGGCGAGCACTGCGCTCGTTCTAGAACATGGTAGAAATATATTGTTAAGTAAGTACATTATGACTGATGCACTTGACGAAAACTCGTACCTGGTATTTATCTTACTGCTTAACGATCCAATTGACTTTAAACATTAGTACTTCAATTTGCAACTAACGAGCATACTTTTCCAGCTGCTGATTGGCCCCCGTCAACGTCTGGGCCCCATCACCAGCGACGTGTAGCCCCAACACCCTCGACGTCTTGCTTTATCACCGGCAACGTATGGCTTCATCACCGTTATCTGGCCCTAGCTCCTCCACCCCCTCCAACACCCGCGACGTGTAGTATATCACCCGCGACATTGACCATATCTCGCAACATCTAGCGCCCCATCACCCGTGACACCTGGTCACCATCACCCGCTCCAGCTCCTGCTTCATCCCCCGCGACATCCCTCACCTTATGTTTCCATGTCAAAATGCCAGGTTTTATTTTTTCGGCACATGCTTGATTATTCAAATAAAATGCTAATCACAGGAACGTATTTTCCTAGAATCAAGGCAAGCAAAGAACACGATTTATTGCCTCACCAATGAACATGTCACCCACGTTGGTCTGAGTGAAGCGAGTGGGCAGCATGCGGCTATCCATGCATGTGAAGAACACGGCTTTTGGCTGCACAGTCGAACACAAAATCAATTAAAAGTTGAACAAATCATGAGACTAATTGTCAATTTTTTGTTGTTTTTCACCCTTATTATCTATAAATTTTCTAATGGAGCTGTTTAATGGAGCTGTCGTATTTATATTCTACATATGCCATAGATTTATACCGAGAGAGCAGGAATAGTTCTTATTAATTATTATCACTAGACTGTGGGTATTGTCAACCCACTTTTTATTCAGATCTTATTCTAAGTTCAACCCTATCCTTGGTATAGGTATATGTTTCAGATTTAGCAATCCAAGGCAACGATGGATCGCCCATTATCATTATTATTCTTTCTATCATTCAAATCTCGATCGAAGTTCTATTCTAAGATTCAGATTCTAGTCTAAGTTCTTCTCTATCATTCAGATACGGTATCGATCTAAGTTCTTCATAATTCAGGTCTCGATCTATGCAATGAATCAGACTAACATATACATATGTAAGACTATAGCACAACTCACATGTGGGTCATTGCGAACCACTTTGAATTGCTGGACCATTCCATCCCGGCAAGTCTGGCGATATTTCATAACTCCTTGCAAAATCTTGTCTATACCCATGGCAAAAAGTTCTTGTTCAAGGGCTCAGGTATACACTTCTAATGAACAAAATCTGAAACAATGGTAGTATAGTTTAGAAAAAAATTAGTTTTTGTCAAAATGTTCTTAGGTACAATATTTAGAATTATTTTATGAACAATTAGGTTCATAAATTTCCGTTGAACAATGATATGTATTTACACAAACTTTTCATTCTTAATAGTTTAATAATAGTTAAAAGTACACTGATATTGGGCTTTCTTTACTTACCTTAGTAATGCACACCATGCAAGTGGAAATAGAATCTGGGCAAGATATTTGCTATTTAATTGGCTGCAAAAAGATTTCAATATTGAACACAAGTAATACGAATGAAAATTAACTATGATTCATAAATATTTTTGAAAATAAATTTTCACAACTTGATTTCAGTGGTTACCTATCTTATGAGAGAGCAACACCTTAGCTGGGAAATGAAGTCTGCAGAATGATTAAAAAAATATATGTTTTCATTAACAAATGGAACCTACATACCCAGGCATCCAACACACTAATGACTGAAATAATAGGGCTAGGGCAGATGAAAACCATTTGAACTTCTAACTAAATGTTCTTTTTTCCCCTTCTAAGATAAAACTCAAGATTTGACACCAGCAATGTCACAATTCAAAGTCTCAAAAAAAAAAAAATTAACATTCAAGGCATGAAATCCAAATTCACACAGAAGATTTTTACATGTCTTTAAATTTGATAACTTCATGGCTTCAAAAATCCATTCACAGCTTGGAGAATAGAAACTTCTTTTAACCTGTCACTTAAGATGCCACAACATTAATGTTATCACTTTCAATAGAAACATTTTATTTTATGAACAAAATTGAAAAAGACTTTGAAAAAGGGCAGAATATCTTAGCAGTTTTTATGTAGAAATTTGACCTTACAGTTGTAGTTCTGGCCAGATGAGCAGTTCATATAAAGCATATAGATGAGCAGTTCTATTGATAAGCAGTGCATAAAAAGCAAAAAATGAGCAATTATCAAAAGATTTATGGTGCCACATGAGCATCAAAATATTAGCACAAACTTTCCACACCCCTCTACAGTGGGTACAGACTACAGAGGCTAGAAGGCCTCTATAATATTGGCTAGAGGGCCGTCTTGGCACTCCCATTTTCTCTCGTCTACATGTACAATGAGGGTACAGAGTCTAGAGGGCCTCTAAAGTCTAGCTTCTGCTATAATATCCTCTCTACCTGACCTTGCTCCCCTTTTCTCCTACAATTTATTAAATTGCATCAAAGGAGAGACTTTTTGAGACTCTTCCTCAGTTCATTTTTGAGTCCTATAGGTTGACCAGTAAAGTATAATAGATACCAGCATTATCATACATAGTAAATTAATTTATATATTGAGTAGATGAGGAAATTAAAAATGAACTGATCCTAAAAATTTTGTGGTTTGTCATTGTCACTAATAAAACATTATGCCCACTAACAAAACTAATATGTGAGTGACAAAAGGCAGCCAGCCAATATAAACTAAAGGCCTAACTCATGAAAGTCTTTTACATAGTCACCACATTGTAAATCCAAATCCAAATTGGATCAGGCTTTTAAACCCATTTCACTGAAGTCTGAAGATTTGTCACCAACACCAGAAGTCTAAAATTGCCTAAACTTTTAAGATTTCTTGTCTTCAGTAGAAATACACAGAGGTGGGCAGCAGCGTGCTACATTTTCAGTAGCGGTAGCGGAGCTACATTTAAGCAATTGTAGTGGTAGCAGTAGCACCCGCTACATATTTAAGTAGCGATACAAGGTTTTGCCACTACAGCGGCCAGCGCTACCGCTACATTTATAGATAATGCCTTTAGATTTTACTGAATAGTATTAAATATTATTTTAAAACCAGCATGATTCATACATAATATTAATTACAGAATAAAACTGTACAAAAGATTTGTCAACCTCAGCCTGTTACTAGTGTCAACATGCAGAGGTGGGCAGTAGCGCGCTACATGTAGCGGCCGCTACTAGCGGCCGCTACATTTTCAGTAGCGGTAGCGGTAGCGGCTCTACATTTAAGGCAATGTAGCGGTAGCGGTAGCGCCCGCTACATATTTAAGTAGCGATACGAGGTTTTGCCGCTACAGCGCTACCGCTACATTTATAGATAAAGCCTTTAGATTTTACTTAAGGGGACAGGCTACCCTCCAACAAAACTTTTTTGTTTACAGACGGATCGTTTTGAAACTTGGCACACATATGTAAAACAAGAAATCTAAGACCTTTTTGTTCATGCAAATTTATAAAATGAAAGAAAACGTAGAATTAATAGAAAACGGCAAATAAGGGGTACTCTAAAAAAGTTTATAATTTTTGCAGATCACATGCTACAATGTCGAGACATATATCATTCGATTTGTAACAATACTATCTAGCGACTGTAGAGCCCCGGTTTTTTAGGTTTTTTATTTTCCCCATCGTTTTTTTCGCGTTCTTCCCATTTTTTCACATTTTTAATTCAAATAAATCTTTGTACATATTGTTAAAAAATGTTCATATATATATTTTTAAAATTGTCTTACGCAAAAATTATAGCACGCACAGACATGCGGTAAACTTTTAGATTGGTAGATTAAAGTTCACATCCATGTAGGGAAGGTAAAACATAAAAATAACTGTAACTTCTATTTACTGTATTTAACCCTGGGGTAACCCATACTAGTTCGGTTAGGTTAATTGCAATAAAGTTGCATTGATATGTATTAAAAATGTTTTATTATCATTAAATGTTAATGAGTAAATCCCAATAGCAGAACAATAAATATTTAAAGATTTCCAATAATTTTAGCCATTGTAGCGGCTAATGTAGCGCGCTACATTTTACTGTAGCGGTAGCGGTAGCGCCCGTTACAATCTAGTGGGTGTAGCGGTAGCGGTAGCGCCCGCTACATTTAGAGCATGTAGCGGTAGCGGTAGCGCCCGCTACATTTAGAGCATGTAGCGGTAGCGGTAGCGCCCGCTACATTTAGAGCATGTAGCGGTAGCGGTAGCGCCGCTACATTTCCAAGTAGCGCTGCCCAGCTCTGTCAACATGTTAGTTGTTAAGTTGTTACCAGTTACCACTTACAGGTATTTTTTCATGTTTCAGTTTGCTTAGTTATTTTTACACAGTTATTTTTATGTTCCACCTTCCCTACATCATACATAGATGTCTGCTTTAATCTACCAATAAAATAAATAAAAAATAATCCACATATATATACAAATAAAAGAGTGATTTTTTATATGTACGGTATTTGTGGATAATTTTTGAGATTTGTAGATTAAAGTAGACATCCATGTAGGGAAGGTAAAACATAGAAATAACTGTAACTTGTATTTACTCTATCTAACCCATACTAGTTCAGTAGTTTGGTTAGGTTAATTGCAATAAAGTTGCATTAATATGTTTTGAAAATGTTTTATTATCATTAAATGTTTATAAGTAAATCTCAATAGCAGAACAATAAATATTTAGAGATTTCCAATAATTTTGGCCATTGTAGTGGCGCTACATTTACTGTAGCGGTAGTGCCCACTACAATCTAGTGGGTGACTGGGTGTAGCGGTAGCGCCTGCTACATTTACAGCATGTAGCGTTAGCGGCGCTACATTTCAAAGTAGCACTGCCCAGCTCTGGAAATACATATTATATAATGAAGTTAGAGGTGTTTAGTAAGAAATTTGTTTGCAAATTCTGCTCAATTCTGAATTTTCATTTGTCATGATCGACATGATGTAGATTTTGTTTTTGATGCTGATCAGATGAGAGCTGAGTGAGCCTGACTGCCCTGAGTCAGCTCAGCTCCAAGCCTTCAGGCTTCAGCTGATGCGGTGGGGAACTAGTGCCAAAGATCTTCAGATATTTTCTCACTATCTGGCATCTGCCCTTTGGTAAAGTGCAACTATGGGCTATGGCCTAATAATGGGCATTAATGGCCAACTTACCGAGGGAGGGCTTTTCTCATTCTCAGTTATCACAGTCATTTTCATTTACAATGAATAACCTAACTAGAGCAGTAAACTAAGTACAGACTTGAGCATTAGAGTCATAATAGGGTAAACGCGGTATATTCCGTCACATTAAGGACGCATCGAGAAATGAAAAACTATAAAAAATAACCGTATGCGTTACTCAAGTTCTGTTTGTTTATGTGACTCTCAAAACACCGCACTACGTGTCAGCAACAACGAAACGTCACAAAATATTGCCATATTTATTTAAAAGCCTTTAGAATGGAAACCTACCAAATCCCTATATTCCGTCACTGTGTGTGGCAATATTCAGCACGTGGTGAGGCGTATTCGGTCCGCGCTTCAAATTCTACTGATACGTAATGCCGTCATCCACGTGTTCGAATTCCGTTTGCTGTGTGAGCTGTATTGGAATACAACATATCATCTATTAATTTATTTACCACTTGAAATCAGCGAATACAAATATACTTAAATGATTCCTAATATATTCACAGACATATTTAAAAGTCTCAAACCATAATATTCTTCCTATACAAACAGTTATTCACTATTTGGTAGAGCAAGGTCAACTGTCAAATTTGATACATTTTTTGATGATCTCACTGGGTAGCGTGCATCGTCTCTCTTTGGATCTCAATATTTTCCCACTAGATGGCCAAGACCTAGTGTTTTGGCATTAGTTTGACGCACAAATGTATGACGTCACCATTTCAACTATCAACGAACACATGGAACTAAAACAAAGCTTAATATAAAGGAAAAACTAAAGAGGTGACGGAATTACCCACGATGACGGAACGGAATATACCGCATTTACCCTAATAATGATAATAATAGTGGTTTCAGCGTTTATTAGGCCCTAGGCTTGCAACTTACTGTCACTGCTTACTGCTACAACTCTGCTGTGCTTAACCAACCGGCATCCTCGCCAATTTTAACCAGAAACTGGCGCACAGAGCTGGGATCGAACCCGCACCTCTCTGCGCCAATCTTGGTACTCCGAACTTTTAACCACTGGGCCACCCTGACTGACACTCTGACAGCATTATTTACACTACACAATTTGAGTCATAATAATGCAATTATTGAAAGAAATTAGACACATTCGTCATTTTACTTGCTACACGTAAAACACCATCCCGGCAGCCGGCTGACTGGCACCTCTGACCGTCTAACATCGCTGTTTTTTTCAGTTGTGACGGGGATTGGGGAATCTGACCTCGAAAATCGGGAGCCCATAGCTAACTTGCATTCCGGATTCCGTACGTGCATAAAAGTTAAGCTTTCTGCAATTACCGACGATACAGCAATAGCACAATTCGGCAGAAGCTGTCAGCAAGTCCCAAGGTATAGAACTATCACGATAAACATCAAATATTAATAAATAGAATTTTGTTGATTCGCCATCAAAATTCTTACCAAGAGAGCGATAATTGTCTAAGATCCTAAATTAAAAAAAAAAATAATTTACAGGAAAACCAAAATTTTTGTTAATTTTCGAAACGGATATGCTTTCAATTGAAATCTAGCCATCAAAAATCAGTTCAACCTGACTGTCAGAGAAAAACATGAATTCTGACAACGTTCGTGATATTTAACGAAAAAAATTACAAAAAACAATAGCGAAAAAGGCATACTTTAGATTATTATTTGAATGCAGGCATAAAATTAAATTTAATCCTATTCGGTCACCAAAAATATTCATTATATCCGTACATATATATTACTATGGGATGATCCACAGCCTCATAGCTACGTCAGTTTCGGAAAGATGTGGTCAAAAAGCCAGTTCTTAGATCTCCCGGATACAAGTTGGAACATTGAAGGAATAGGCCAGACTACGTAGGCCTATTCTGCAACGTCCTCTTCTATACTTCCTTACTAGAAATATTGATAAAATGCGACCCAAAACTATTATCATGTATATAAAAAAATGTCCCAATATAACGATCTGAATATTTATAGACATGGATACGATATGAAAAAAGTTGCACATTTTTAAATCCTGTAAAAAATACAGGTTATAATTTTTCATAACAAATTTTACGAATTAAACAAGCGCACGAACCAAATTCGTGCGACCAATATCGGCCTAAAACCATTAACAGCTATCTTAATTACCAACGTTAAACATTATGATTGAAATAAATTATTTCAGGTTAGGAAAAACACAAAAACAAATAAATAAATGTGTTTTATTACTCTATGATATAACAAACGTATATGTATGTGCAGGCAGTATAACTGGGTTACGATGCTTACACGAGATATCAAAAATACAAATGCTATACTAGCATACATGGCTAAACATATCAACCTTTAACCATCTCGTGTGCCCAGTAACTTAAAGTGAGTCAGGAGTAACTAAATGCGAGTCAGGAGTAACTAAATGTGAGTCAGGAGTAACGAAATGTGAGTCAGGAGTAACTAAATACGAGTCAGGAGTAACTAAATGTGAGTCAGGAGTAACTAAATGTGAGTCAGGAGTAACTAAATGTGAGTCAGGAGTAACTAAATGCGAGTCAAGAGTAACTCAAGTCGAGGAGTCAGCGCTAAAGCAATTCAGGGAATAACTGACGTACCGTAATATTCTGGCGCAAATCGAGCGACAACAAAGTTTACATTGTAACCGCGTAATGCTTGTGAAAACAATAAAAAAGAACGGGACGTATTATCCAAAAATCGACACACTTTCTTACCCACTGATAGGCATTTTTCTCGGTAAAAGTGTGTCTTTTTGACCCACACAATGGCCAAAAAGTGTATCACTACTAGACAAAGTCCCATTCACTTCACCGAGTTTCGCCTTATTCCTATATCTTCAACGATTAAAATGTCTGCTGATAACCACCCCCATAGATCAAACCATAAGAAGATATATATAGTTAAATAAAAATATACGAATAAAATTAAAAATATATAAACTCTCACTTCATGTACGGATGATGAAAATTCACAAAAAAGGACGGAAAGAAAAAAAAAATCGCGAATAAAAAAGCTTCATGCCTCAAGGCGATCAAATAATAGAAAAACTCGCGCTTTATGTCTGATTTTACTAGAAAATATGAATACAAATCAAAGAAACTGGTGAACGAGAAAGAAATATGTTATTAAAAGGCTAGTATCAGAGCGTGAAGAGCATCTCTGTATGTAGCTGCTCTGCAGAGACAGTGCCGTCAGAGCGTGAAGAGCATCTCTCTCTGCAGAGACAGTGCCGTCAGAGCGTGAAGAACATCTCTGTATGTAGCTGCTCTGCAGAGACAGTGCCGTCAGAGTGTGAAGAGCATCTCTCTCTGCAGCTGCTCTGCAGAGACAGTGCCATCTATACGCCTCAGGTCTCTGTTAAACACCGAGTACGCGCTTACCTCCCCAGGGGCGCGGGGAGATGTTCGTAGATTGCATCTGTAACACAAGAATGGTTATTGCACCTGATATATCTGATGGGTAATTCCAGTTTAGCACCAGATAGGTATTAGGCAGGCAGATTTCAATTGGATTGAAGGCAAAAGAATAAATTATACTCTTAAGGTATAGTCAAAAATTATCATTAAGTATCCATTATATCATCCTTAATCAAGTATTAGTCATGAGCGCGCTTCAACGAAATCCAGATATAATGAATGCAAATGTAATACGCGTGGAAGACACTATTAAGCATTATTGCAGTACTTACCCTATGAAAACAAAACCAGAGAATAGAAAGAACACGGCGCCGAACTGCCATATGATGAATATTTTCCACAATAGCAGCCATAGAACAATCTTCAGTGCAAGAGCCGCCCACTCAATCCTCGAACGCCGCCGAATTATTTTAGAGAAAACGCTTGCCGGTTGAGCCTCAGTCGACTCCTGGTCGGAGTCGGAGTCAGACGCGTCATCCTCGCGCGGCAGAAGCGGATCATGAATTTCCTCGTTGTTGTTAGTGGCATCAACTACATCGTTCTGCATGTCATAGAATAAAATAAATTCTATAGTTGAGAATGTAGATTCATGTACCGGAACTTATTGAACCATTCCTAAAATTTACGAAAATGATACGTCAATTAATAATTCCTAGGTATATCATTGCAGATATACTTACACATTATGATCAAAACAATAATCACAATTTGTAGTGATATAACTAATTACCGCAAGTCGCAAGGTTCTCCCGCCAGGGGCGTGGCGCTGGAGGTGCTCGGGGGCAACCGCGACGTAAAGGGCATTCGTTATTTTCGCTCCGACAGCGTCGAAAAAATCAAAAATCGGATTAAAAAACGTGAACGATCTTCTTCTAGATGGACTGTCATCTCTAGGAATTATCGTGGGGTTATCGGTCATTATTCTTCGTCTAGCGTCTTTTTCTTGGGCTTCTTTTTGTTTCTTAAGTCGGTACTCAGCAAGTTGTTGTTCAATGGATGAGGTCATTTTCAACTGTTTATAGCTAAATTATTTAACTTTATTCACTATTTTAGTCACTTTACATTAATTTCATACGCGAAAACTCAAAATGGCTAAGAAAAAATCCGAGATTAGTTTCTGCATGTGCAATAAAGTTGTTACATTTCGAACTCACGCCTGTCATAAGCGTATATAGTGTTGACATTGCTTCAATGCATAGAATCAAGTGCTAGAAAGGATGGTAAATCGGTTTACTGCAAAATAATAATTTATGTCAAGTAATAAATCGTATTTGGCGATAAAAGTTGAAGTCTAGATAAAGACAACACTCGTAATACACTCAATACTCAGGATACTCAAGATACTTGATACTCAGGATACTTGATAGTCAAGCTACTTGATACTCAAGATACTTGATACTCAAGATACTTGATACTCAAGATACTTGATACTCAAGATACTTGATACTCAAGATACTTGATACTCAAGNCGCAGCGGCCTTCGAACACGCAGCGGCCTTCGAACACGCAGCGGCCTTCGAACACGCAGCGGCCTTCGAACACGCAGTGGCCTTCGAACACGCAGCGGCCTTCGAACACGCAGCGGCCTTCGAACTCGCAGCGGCCTTCGAACACGCAACGGCCTTAGAACACGCAGCGGCCTTCGAACTCGCAGCGGCCTTCGAACACGCAGCGGCCTTAGAACACGCAGCGGCCTTAGTACACGCAGTGGCCTTAGAACACGCAGCGGCCTTAGAACACGCAGCGGCCTTATAGAACACGCGGCCTTAGAACACGCAGCGGCCTTCAAACACGCGGCGGCAATCAAACACGCGGCGGCCTTCAAACGAGCGGCGGCCTTCGAACACGCAGTGGCCTTATAGAACACGCAACGGCCTTAGAACACGCAGTGGCCTTAGAACACGCAACGGCCTTAGAACACGCAGCGGCCACGGAACACGCGTCCTTAGTGCACGCAGTGGCCTTAGAACACGCAGCGGCCTTATAGAACACGCAGCGGCCTTTGAACACGCAGCGGCCTTCGAACACGCAGCGGCCTTATAGAACACGCAGCGGCCTTATAGAACACACAGCGGCCTTAGAACACGCAGCGGCCTTAGTACACGCAGCGGCCTTAGAACCTGTCTCTTATACACATCTAGATGTTTGATACTCAAGATACTTGATACTCAAGATACTTGATACTCAAGATACTTGATACTCAAGATACTTGATACTCGAGATACTTGATACTCAAGATACTCAGGATACTTGATACTCAAGATACTCAGGATACTTGATACCCAAGATACTCTATACTCCAGATACTCTATACTCAAGATACTCTATACTCCAGATACTCTATACTCCAGATACTCTATACTCAAGATACTCTATACTCACTCAGTACTCGGCAGACTCAGTAGCCAGAAAGCGCACAGTACTCGAAATTCGAAAAATGCGTTAAATTTCACATTGAGCGCCAGATTTTCTAATATTTTGAAAAAAAAACCGTTCGCCAAAATATTTTGATATTCTTTACAGGACTCAGGGTACGGGGGGGCGTCCAGCTCCCCAAGCGTGGCACCGCACACGCCCCCTTGCGTGAGGGTTCAAGGGTTGACGCAAGGGTTAAAGGGTTGACGCAAGGGTTCAAGGGTTGACGCAAGGGTTAAAGGGTTGACGCAAGGGTTCAAGGGTAGATACAAGGGTTCAAGGGTTGACACAAGGGTTCAAGGGTTGACACAAGGGTTCAAGGGTTGATACAAGGGTTCAAGGGTTGACACAAGGGTTCAAGGGTTGACACAAGGGTTCAAGGGTTGACACAAGGGTTCAAGGGTTGACACAAGGGTTCAAGGGTTGACACAAGGGTTCAAGGGTTGACACAAGGGTTCAAGGGTTGATGCAAGGGTTCAAGGGTTGACACAAGGGTTCAAGGGTTCAAGGGTTGATGCAAGGGTTCAATGGTTGACACAAGGGTTCAAGGGTTGACACAAGGGTTCAAGGGTTCAAGGATTAATAATATAAGGGTTCAGGGGTTGATGCAAGGGTACAGGGGTTGTTGCAAGGGTTCAAGAGTTGACGCAAGGGTTCAAGGGTTGACATAAGGGTTCAAGGGTTGACTTTTATTGAAATAAGTCTAAAAACTGTCATAATCTCAGAGTTTGTCAAAATTCAGGTAATTGTCCATATTCGACCGTCTATGTAGCAATGGTTCTCAGACTTTCTGGTTAAATAGAACACCTTTAGTAAATTCATCAACTTGATTTCTAGTAAAGATATTCAACTTCAGATTTTTTTATTTTTTTCCAAAGCGCATTCATTGAATGAACTTCATTAGTTACAAATTTTCCGATACACCAAAGCTTGAAACTTTGCTACAATTTTTTTTTCGAAGTGGCAATAGAGGAAAAAATCATCTGGAAAAAATCTTCATACCCAAATGCATGAACACTGTAAGATATATTAGCCTTTTCTATCAATTAGAGGGTAAAATGTTGCATTTGACTGGCACGTAGAATGTTACAATTGACCGGTGAGTACACTGTTACAATTGACCGGTGAGTACACTGTTACAATTGACCGGTGAGTACAGTGTTACAATTGACTGGTGAGTACAGTGTTACAATTGACCGGTGAGTACAGCGTTACAATTGACCGGTGAGTACAGTGTTACAATTGACCGGTGAGTACAGTGTTACAATTGACACCGGTGAGTACAGTGTTACAATTGACCGGTGAGTACAGTGTTACAATTGACCGGTGAGTACAGTGTTACAATTGACCGGTGAGTACACTGTTACAATTGACCGGTGAGTACAGTGTTACAATTGACCGGTGAGTACAGTGTTACAATTGACCGGTGAGTACCTGTCTCTTATACACATCTAGATGTGTATAAGAGACAGGGGTTCAAGGGTTGATGCAAGGTTTCAAGGGTTGATGCAAGGGTTCAAGGGTTCAAGGGCAAGGGTTCAAGGGTTGACGCAAGGGTTCAAGGGTAGATACAAGGGTTCAAGGGTTGACACAAGGGTTCAAGGGTTGACGCAAGGGTTCAAGGGTTGATACAAGGGTTCAAGGAATGACGCAAGGGTTCAAGAGTTGACGCAAGGGTTCAAGGATTGATGCAAGGGTTCAAGGGTTGATGCAAGGGTTCAAGGGTTGATCAATTGACCGGTGAGTACAGTGTTACAATTGACCGGTGAGTACAGTGTTACAATTGACCAGTACAAATCACATTAAGATGTCATGTTGATATAGCAGGTCAGTGAGACCATACCTAACGATGTATGTATACAATGAGACCACCATACATAACGATGTATGTATACAATGTACACAAATCGAAAATAAATCAAACAATGTATCATATATTCTATTAATAATGCATGGAATTACAAGCCTAATTTGAGCAGCAATATTCTTCGTGATACTCGTAACGTTGCGTGTGGTTCTACACGAGTCATACATCAACGCACTCAAAGAAAATGAGAGATTTGTCCAAACAGCAATGCCCTTCTTGCAGTTGTGTGGGTCACCCTGACACAGTTTTGAACCGAAGTATCAGTGCTACGTGCAGGAGTGTGTCACTATTTGGACATTATAACCCATTCATTTTTGTTCATGTCTTCACGCAAAAAAAATCTCAGGTCATTAATGGTTGCTCACAGATGACGATATTTAAGATGCTCTTTATCTGTATTAAGCAACAGTAATTCTAGCATGTATTATTAATTTATGTTCTATCGAACACGCTCTTCAAACAAACACACATGACCTGAAAACACATGAAATTCAACACAGTAAAACACTAAACACTCGTGTGTTCTAAACAAGATTTTGACAGCAAAATTTTATACAATTTATAATAATCAAATTTTTTTTGTAATAATCAGCAGCACTAATAAAAGATTGACCTCCGAGATCAGTTATATCAACTATTCAACGTATTTAACTTCACTTATTTTAAGCAAAATTTGTAAAAACATACTTCTCACGTAAATTTCATAAAACGCACTCAACTAAGAAGTATTCACACTTTACGTTCGTTCCCGTACGAACACGTATGAAAATATTTATTAATTATTAAATTTGTAGTAGTACTAGTAGGTTTACTAGCGCTGAACTGAGTTAACTAATATTGATAAATGGCTTTGGTGCTCAGCGAGCACTAGTGAGGTGCTCAGGGAGCACTAGTGAGGTGCTCAGGGAGCACTAGTGAGGTGCTCAGGGAGCACTAGTGAGGTGCTCAGGGAGCACTAGTGAGGTGCTCACATGGAAGAATATGTCTCGCGTTTGCATTAATTTTAAATCTTCACAAACCCCAGGCAAATAAATTCTTAACAGAATATGAATAAAGCCAAGAGCTTCCTGCTAACTTATCGAAATAATTTATTACTTAAAGTTATAAAATATTGAAGGCATAAAAGTAATAGAAAGACACTTTTTGATCACCCTAAACTTAATGAATAAAAAATATATTTGAACAATTAAACCCATAAAGATATGTAAATTATCACAAATATAAAGTTATGAAAATATAACAAACGTAAAGAAAATATATGAACAAACAATATATATTTCTGTGAATACATCGCGACACACAAGGGATACTTGACTCGTATGGTGATGTATGACCTGAGATACATAGAAAGATACATAGTAACTTATGTAAACACTTGAAATTAATGATAGTATTCGCACCATTAGATAGAAGCATACTATTCAAAATCTTATGCGAACGCATGTCTTTCCTGAACTTTCATTAGTAATATAATGAATTGATGTATAGAATGAATATATACTATAAATAATTAAATATACTAAAAACATCACTGAGGCTTACTGGTTATTACAAAAAAGAGGTTTAGTAACCCACCACAACAGTTAATTTTTAGTTATGAGCAGCCGAAACTCAGTCCAACAACCGGAGGTAAATAGGGTAAATTAAAATATTATAATAATCAGCATATAAACTAAATACAATGATAGGAAAATAGGAAAAATAAGCTCATTATTATTAAATATTAATTAAGCTCACAATCTATAAAGAATTTGGGTGAGGCGGTAGACAATTAATAGTAATAAACAAATATTATTATTATTATTGCACAAATAAATAATCATCTTCAATATTAGAGATCAGCTGGATATTAAAAATTAAAAACCTATGGAAACTGAAAAGATCCTGGTTCGTCACTGGAATGTCTATTGCTTGCAATCAATATATCTATTGTAAACTATTGAAATGTCTATTGCATATTCGTGAAATATCTACTGTTATCTACTGGAATGTCGATTGTTATCTACCGAAAGTCAGGCGCTGAATCCTGAACAAATTTTTGTGAAATTTTGCATTTATAAGATTATTTGTTGCTTAACTTGCAAGTAAACAATAATGAAGAACAATGTCTTCAGCAAAATTATGATTGATTTTATTTGTAATTATCATGTCATTTTCTACCGTACATTTACGTCTTGGGTGAAGTGGGAGCTGTGAAGCAAGAATTGAGTGCGGGCATTTACAACATATTAAGATTTATGTGAAAAATAATACTTAGCTTGTATATAAAAACAACCAACGAAAGGAATGGTAGGATTCGAAACAGCGTTTGTAAATTCAAAATAAAAGCACAATAATTTTAATTTTTAACATGGAAAATTAGAAACGGCTAGAATTTTCTAAAGGAACGGACATCAAAATAGAAATCCGCGAGCCTCTCAATGAAAATAACAAATTTTCTCCATAATATTTTTTCTCAAAATAATGCTTGCTAATGTCTATTCTAATTCAAGTCTAATTTAACTAAGTCTAGTGAAGGAATGAATGAGCATTTGCTAGACTTGAACATCCACTGTACGATATCCCAGTCTTTATCATTAATATTATCACTATTTATTTATCACTATCTCATACAAAAGATTAATGCCAAACTTCACTGGGATTTGTTTACATATAAAATCGAAACTGTAAAATTGCACGAAAATTACAAGAAATTGGCACAGTCCTGAAGTGATATCATCCAGTCACGCAGTTCATTTGTTTTACACAAAAACTTCAATAATTTGTTCAGTTAAGAGCATATGTTATAAAGATCAGATGACTAAGATCTAATACAGATAAGATATTTGAATCGTTTACTTTAATACAGACCAACAAATTTTAAAGATCAGATTTAATACAGACTTGTTCACGCAACCATCGGATGAGGTAGCGATAGACTTCACTTATTCATTAACACAAAATATTCCATACAATTTACAGTGTATATATTAAACAATGAATTCCTCTCATATCTCCTATTAATCGCCTGCTAATTCTTATAATCATATGTTATTAGTTAACCGACAATCAATTCCATCGCATCTTCTGTTAATCACCTGCTACGGTAATTCTCATAATTATATGTTATTAGTTAATTGACAATTAATAACTCTCATATCTCCTATTAATCACCTACTAATTCTTATTATTATATGTTATTAGTTAATTGACACTTAATTCCTCTCACATCTCCTGTTAATCACCTGCTACTTCAGTTAATTGTGTTATTGATTATCTCGGGAGAAGATATAACATAATCATGCAATTATTGGCTAGGTTTTCCTAATACTCGATCAAAGAATTAGTTTCTAGTCACAGAAAATTAGTGTAGTAACTTTAATTAGTACATACTGGTCTTTAAAAATTAAAATTAAATAGCATTATAGACTATTGTCTCACTAAACGACGGACTTTTAAAATATTATGTCAACAAAATAATAAAGATCAATGCTAGATGACACTAGGACAACCAGCGATTAATATAATAATTAATTAATGGTAAAACACTCAGAGAAATCCGTGAGACTTTGTCCAAATATTTCTGCACTTCTCGCTCTTGTGTGGGTCATCCTGACCCAGTTTGGCGCGGTAAAATAGCGTAGCAGTGGTAAGTGCAGAAAGTGTGTCACTATCCGGACAATGTAACCAATCAATTTTTAAAAATTTAACAATATTTCTTGTAATAATTTCAAATTCATTTATTTAATTTAAATTCACTTTAAATAATTATATCGTAGTGACTTTATTGAATAAAATGGCGAGGTTTTTTGTCATGAGGTGAAGACATCAACGCGAGGAACACTCAGATAAATAAGCGAGACTTGGTCCAAATAGCGATGAACTTTTTACCCTGTGTGGGTATATTTTGACTATACCCGTTAATTTGTATTAGTAAATGTTATAAAATAATGACACTTTTAACCATGTGTTTTTACCATTTAGACAACAAGATCCAATCATTTTCCGAGTAAATGTTCCAAAATAATGACAAAATATCACAGAAAATACAGAATAAATAACATTCACGCTTGCGACACACGACAATATACAGCAGCAAGAGAAATCTACACATTTGTATTTCATGTATAACACACAAAACTGGCCAACAACATTTTGATGAGAACATGTCATGAGTAAAAGTTCGGATGCAGATAAATAAACAAGAATACGGAACAATATACAATCTGGCATAAATGTTCAAGGATTAAGAACATTATCTTATCAGTCTTTTTACAGCTCTTTATTTAAGCGAGAAGTATCGTATCCTTGATATTTGAGGATCGTAAAGATTTCCTACATTTTCCACCTTGTTACCTAAATTGAACATGCTTCAAAAATGTTGCCTCTCTCACAAATGTTGTAAATTTGTATTGATAAAACAGTGAATAAATATTTTGAATATAAAACTGCCAGTCCTGCGTATCTTTATTTGCTCACCCATTGTCATACAAAAGGTAGCTAAATCCTTCCAATAGGTCAATTTCCATCATTATATGAACCACTGTTCAAACTCAAAAAACGTCTGTATCCTAGCATTGGTCCAGTGACCAAGCACACAAATATTACACCTACGATTAGTGGGTTCAAGTCCCAGCGAGCTGTGAAAATTCTGCGATGTCGCTTGTTTGCGATGCTTACTGCGTGGCCGCGGCATCTTAGCTAAAACACGAATATCCGGACATTCTGCAGGTGAATGTTCTGCAAATGCTGAATGTCCTGCACATGATGAATGTCCATCAAACGATGAATGTCCATCAAACGATGAATGTCCATCAAAGGATGAATGTCCATCAAAGGCTGTATGTCCATCAAGCGATGTCATGGGGTCGCATCTTGCGCGTCTGTATGGCGCCTCGCACGGCCACGCGGGGCGAGCCCATGTGAAGAGACCTGTAAATTAATACTTCAATTATTTGCGTATTTATCAATAATTTATTTATCCATTTATTTAATTATTATTTTACTTATTTTACCGATTATTCAGTCGGATTATTATGTTACTTCTTTAGCTAATTATTAAATTATATTCATAGCTAACTTATTCATACTATTCATCTTCCAATTGGAAGGCACTTCAGTTCCCTTTTATTTTCAATCGATGAATATTTTTAGATAATTAATATTTTAAATATTTAAATATTAATTAATATTTTTAAATGATTCTATTTTGGAAGTGCAGAGCCTCCAGTTCTTCAGCTTACAACTTGTTACCATTGCAATTAAATAAAAATTAAAATAAAAATTAATTCATCAGTTGATTTTTTAATTAAATCAATGAATTGGGGCTGAAGAAAAAATATCAACTTCACTGCTAATAATTACTTGAATTCAAAGCGTTTCATTATTATTAAAAAAAATACAAAGAGTTTTGCAATGCGTACATAAATTGAGAGCTATCCATAAACTTATTATACAATCCATATATACTGTATACACCGCCAAAATTTGACGGGTTATAATAAAATTTTCAGTCCAATGATAGGACCAAGAACATGACAAATTATATACGTACGGTATACGTTTTAATATATATAGTCCTGGGGCCATACCATCAAAAATATTAGGAGTTTGAAACCACTGACAGTTTTACAGGCTAAAACCACCAATCAGACAAGAAATCGGCCGTTATGGGAACCTGGGCGAGTTTTGTGGTAATGCCGTGTGATTTAATATCGCAAATAATTTTATTATTAGGTTAATTTATTTATAATATAGTAGGTATTTATATTATATAAATACTATATTATATATATATGTATATATATATATATTGGCTCCTCAATTCATCTATAGTCTATAACTATATTATAGACTATACTATGCTATAAAAATACTATATTATATTTTATTATTTGATATATTTACAGTATTTATGAAGAGACACACCGTATAAGTGGAGCAGCCTGCCTATACGGCTGCAACACGGTCTCAATAATTATATTATTAGGTTAATAGTCTAAGTATTTATCAATATACACACCGTATAAGTGGAGCAGCCTGCCTATACGGCTGCAACACGGTCTCAATAAGCCCCTGCAGCAACACGTGCAGCAGACGCGTGTTAAACACGCGCCACTGCACGCACTCGTACACGCTCAACACGCCACGTCCTGACGTCTGCGACCCTAGCAGTGCACGCAGCTCATCGCTGATACTTGACAGCAGACAGAGCCGTGCTGACACCTGCACGGGGGTTATGAGCTGACTTATACGCACTCTAGAAAACACATCTTACACAAATAGCCTAAACGTATGTAGGCTTGTATACTAGTATAGGTATTTCATGTATTGCACTCCATAATTGGAATAATTGTAACAATAATAATAATATTAATAATAAAAATAATAATAATAAATGAATAATGCATAATTGACCTGCGTGAGAAGTTGCGTGTCGCGGTCCCGTGGCGCGGACGGCGGGGCCAGCTCCCCATGGGGCCACACCGAGTCTTTGAAGGCTTTAATATAATCAGCAACTTGTTCAGGTGAGGTGATATATCCTACAAAGTCTATTATACGACGGTTAACAATATCCCCGAACATTGCCTTCAGTATTTGTCTCAGGAAAAGCACGATGCGTCTTCTAAACCACTGGTCTTTGCTGCGGAGTTCGAATACTTCGTCCATGAGTAACAACAATATCCGTAGAGGAATGTTGTCGTCAGCTTCTAAATCAACACTTCCTCGTGTCAGCAGCTCTGATGGCTGACACCTCAAGGATGTAGGCACGTCAGCAGGTACAGCTGATGTCGGTTTGTTGATGAATCTTCTCGCGCCATCAACCATGCCATCAACAGTGTTGAATACCGTGTCTGGCATGGCACGAACTGCCACCCGGAGACCGCCTAACCCTTCCTCAACCTGCGGGTGAAAAAGGTTTAATTTCAACCACGCACCATTAAGGGGTTAATTTCAACCACGCACCATTAAGGGGTTAATTTCAACCACGCACCATTAAGGGGTTAATTTCAACCACGCACCATTAAGAGGTTAATTTTAACCATTATTGACAAGCACAGCGTCGGGACGGGAAAGCATAAACTCGTTAGGTTGATCTCAACCACTGGATCAAATATGCCAACTGACATTATCTTATGGTTATAGTTATTTAGATACTCCACATTTGGCTGAAGAAAAATACCAAATACTATTATTATTATTACATTATTAGTAGGTAGCAAGTTAATATACCTACTTCAATTCCAAACAAAAATGTTACGATCAGTTCGAAGTTCTGGTGAAATCTTAACATGACCCACTTAACATGCCCCACTTGACATGCCCCACTTGACATGCCCCACTTGACATGCCCCACTTGACATGCCCCACTTGACATGCCCCATTTAACATGACCCACTTAACATGACCCACTTGACATGCCCCACCTAACATGACCCACTTGATATGACCCACTTGACATGACCCACTTGCCATGACCCACTTGACATGACCCACTTGACATGACCCACTTGACATGACCCACTTGACATGACCCACTTAACATGTCCCACTTGACATGCCCCACTTGACATGCCCCACTTGACATGACCCACTTGATATGACCCACTTAACATGACCCACTTGACATGACCCACTTACATGACCCACTTAACATGTCCCACTTAACATGTCCCACTTGACATGACCCACTCAACATGACCCACTTAACATGACCCACTTGACTCACCCTCTTGGCGAGCGTGTATTGCTGGTGGTACGGCGTGTGGTCAAGGAACCTAAGCATGAGATCCTGCAGCCCAGGATGGCTCTGCAGCGACGGAGGCGACACGATGGCGCTAAGCCATTCATTTAATTCAGTCCTTCGTTTTTCTAGGAACCAAGCTGCTAAATTATTGAGCATTTTCTTGCTAGGGAAGGATAGGGATCCTAAATCCAGGAATTTAGAGGATATGGCTAAATGGAAATCATGGAAGTCCGAGTAGCGCCGGAAGACGTGCCATAGTTCCTCCTTGCCTGAGGGATCTCTGTGGACCACGCGAACCTGGTACACAGCGTGACTTCTGGTGCCTTCACGTACCACTTCTGCACACACGTACAACTTTGTCTTATTCAATTAAATATTAAACATTACACACAAACACAACTCTATGTCACTTAAATATGAAAAATCAATAAAAAAATATTTATTTTAACCCTGATGCCTGGTACACAGCGTGACTTCTGGTGCCTTCACGCACCACTTCTGCTCATACATGCAACTTTGTCTTATTTAATTAATTATTAAACATTACACACGCGCACTACTCTATTTCACTTAAATATGAAACATTATTAAAAACTATTTGTTCATGTTGAGTGGGGCAGAACTCAACAGCCAACACGACTGCCAGATGGCATTAAAACGGCCAAGGCCGCGGACAAAAAGGCCTAAGATTCCATATATTCTAGTAAATTTGTAAATTCCAGTGCAAAAAATTTAGTTTTCCTTTTTTCGCACTTTTCATAATTTAATAATGAAGTACCGATATCATAAATTTTTGGCGGCCAACGCAAGTAAAAAATAAATAAATAAATAAATAAATCGCGGAATTTGTCCGGAAAAAAGGCCCTGCCTGGTTCACGACTTGTATTCTGGTGCCTTCACGCACTACCTTTCTTTGTACATACACAGAATTTTTATTAATTCAATTAAACACGAAACATTAATTAGCATGCACAGAACGTCTATTCATTCAATTAAATATGAAATATTAATTAGCATCGGGTAATACTAATTTATTTTAGCCATGATGTCAGGTTAAGCATCAAAGCCTCATTAGGCGAGGGTAACCTGCGGCAGTGATGGCAGCGCTGAGGGTATAGGGGCGGGCGGAGAGGGAAGGCGTCCTCGTGTGGCCGGGGGAGGCGTGAAGTGAGGGCGCGGGGGAGCCTGTGTGGGAGGACGCACGTGATCCCCCACCTCCGTTCTAGAGAAAAATATATATACTTATTTATATTGCCTAAATATATATATATCAAAATATAGATATTTATGAAAAATAAATATATACTTATTTATATTGTTTACATAAATATAGACAGCCTATATCTATATAGCCCCTATATATATATAGAGATATTTATGAAGGTTTCCATCTTGTTCCGTTAACTACAAGGTTTACTTTTAATGGCATGATATTATTTATTCACTGAAAACGTCAATAGATAATTTCCATTGTGAATATATCCATTGTAATTATTTATTTGACCATTTTATTTATCCATTGCAATAATAAAAATTCGTTTCATAGCAGAATATTTACTATAAATATTTATGGTGCCTTCGATTATTGAGATCATCCAAATTTCATGAAAATTAACACAAACTTTTCCACTTTGTTACAAAATTTAAATATCACAAGAAACCTAACACATAACACACATTAACTTAAAAAATACCGTAATTCTATTTCCCCAGTTCCATTACCTCAACAACTTGAATAATTACCCAAAAGGGAAAGAATTATCACATTTTAATTATATTTGATGAATAATATTTTATTCGTCAGGACGTTCACCACTCAGTCAACTGACGTCACTAGAGGTGCACCACTCAGTCAACTTACGTCATTAGAAGTGCACCACTCAGTCAACTGACGTCATTAGAAGTGCACCACTCAGTCAGCTGACGTCATTAGAAGTGCACCACTCAGTCAGCTGACGTCATTAGACGTGCACCACCTGTCTCTTATACACATCTAGATGTGTATAAGAGACAGACGCGCACCACACAGTCAGCTGACGTCATTAGTCGTGCACCACTCAGTCAGCTGACGTGCACCACTCAGTCAGCTGACGTCATTAGACGTGCACCACTCAGGCAGCTGACGTCATGAGACGTGCACCTGCTCAGACGAGGCGAGGCTGGCGTCGTCCTGCGAGTCGTCGTCGTCAGACCGCGACGTGTCCCTCAGCAAGTCCAGCTCTGCCAGCAGCCGCACATACCACACCGACCTGCAACACGTTATTACATTACAATTATATAATAGCCACTAGTACATTAGACTCATATATTGATTATATATGCCACACATTAGACTCGTATTGATTTATAACTAAACAATCCCGATTTATACCGCACATACCACACCGAACTGTAACCCGTTATTACATTAAAATTATATACTGGCCATTAATACATTAGACTCTTATTACGCCGTACTAAACCATAACTATTATCAGACTACACTAAACTGAAATTATTCTTAGAATTTAAACTAAAACTATTATTGGACTATTAAACTAAAACTATTATTAGACTATTAAAATAAAACTTACATTATACTAAAACTATTATATATTTGATAATAATAAATGTAATTAATCATGAAAGAATACCTTCTGAAGCCCGGCAGGAAGAGGTCGTTCTCCATCATGGTGTTGACGAGCGCCTGTTGCACCTCGTCAAACCAGGTCTCCGTGACGTGCTCAGAGCGCAGCCGCAGGATCAGGCGCTTCACGATGCTGTCGTCGATAACAACCCGTGGATTGGCCTGCAGTCAGAAATATATTCATTTAATTTTGATATAAATTACATAAAGTAATATAATTAATATGATTTCATCTACCACCACAGGATTTACCTTTAAAAATGAAAAAAGTGGTACGGTATCAAGATAATTTCAGAACTGTTTCATGTACCACCCGAAAATTGGCCTTAAACGATGAATAAATTTGTATAACTTTTATTATTATTTCAAACGATATTCATCTACACAGCAGATTCATTCAGGCCCTCAACATCATAGGCACCCTTGAACCCGCAACAAAATACCATCAATAGGTACAATATAAAGCTTCTGACATTTTCATTAAAATAACTATACACATTATAAGGACGCAAGTACGCACCATCTTATAATGGTGATATTATTATAAATAATCAACTTGGTCATCATTACTGTATTACAAGAATAATGAAAAAATGAAAATAAACTCTAGAGGAAATCAAATAACATCGGCCCCGGCATGATCGTTATACGTTAATTAATTCCCGTACCTATCGTCAATCTCATTATTTCTCTATGAAAAAAAAAACAGATATAGAAATAAGAAGCAGCTTGTTTTCTCTGTAACAAAAATTATATACTATCAATAATATTAAAAGAAAGAAATAATTATAATACTAATAATAATAAAAGAAAAATACTAATATGGCCGACCTTCTCACTGAGGTATTGTTCATACATGACTTCAGCCTCGACTTTATGAGGCGCCAGGTCGTGTGCGCTGAAGTGGTCGTGGCAGAGTCCTGGTAAGCTGCTCACACTGCTCCTGCTGGGGGGCATGGTGGTGGTAGTATCTGAGGACTTGCCACTCATATTGCTGCTTTTACTGCTACTGTTAATGTTTTTACTGCTGCTGCTGATGTTACTGTTGTTGTTCTTGGAGGTGAGGGACGACGAAATGTTTGACATGGCCTGACGAGCGTGGCCCGTGTTGCGGCGGACGGTCCCTGTGGGGGCGACGTCCAAGTCGCTGTAGGGACGACCAGGGTCGCCATAGGGACGGCAGGCATCCGCCGCAGCGGCAGCGACCGCCTCAGCCTCCAGGTGCTGGAGACGGTCCAGCTCCAGGGCGCAGAAGCGCTCGCTCACCGTCGTGCGCCAGCCTGGAAAATGCCTACATTTGAAACGTGGGGCAGATTTTTCTGCATCTTCTGCACAAGTCGGCAAATTTTGCATTAATATGGGTCATATTTTGGTGCCATAGTGAGAAATACTCGCCTGATTCCAACTGTCCATTTGGAAGCAAAATGGACATAAAAATAATTGATTTCGAATTCTGGATGAACGTTTATTTGAACGCACGCTCATTTGAAAGCTGCTTCGTAACACAAAAAAAAAACATTTCAAGTTGATCTAGAAAAAAAGTAGCTTCATTCCACAATAGAGCAACAAACTAAGTCAGAAGGTAGTTTTCACAAAATGTTGAGATCTCACACTCTATGTTGAGGTAGTGATGGTAGCATGAAGTAGTTAGTATTCACACTCTATATTAAGGTAGAGATGGTAGCATGGAGTAGTCGGTACTCACACTCTATGTTGAGGTAGAGATGGTAGCATGAAGTAGTTAATACTCACACTCTATGTTGAGGTAGTGATGATAGCATGTGGTAGTGATGGTAGCATGAGGTAGTGATGGTAGCATGAGGTAGTGATGGTAGCATGAGGTAGTCTGTACTCACACTCTATGTTGAGGTAGAGGTTGAGGTAGTGATGGTAGCATGAAGTAGTTAGTACTCACACTCTATGTTGAGGTAGAGGTTGAGGTAGTGATGGTATCCTACAGACGCAAGGTAGTTCAAGAAGTGGTCAAGTGTGAGGGAATTTTTCAAGATGGCATCCAACGGCAACTGGAAGAGCTTCCCTCGCGCCTCAGACACCTCGTAATTAACGGACAATCCTGCACAAATAATATATTTTTAACTTCAGAAATAACATCAAGATGAGTATATATTTTGCGCACATGAAATGTATTGGTACATATGCGTATCACGAAATGTACTTCTCCAGGAGGTAGTGGTTCATAATTCAGGTTGCCTAAAATCATCCAAATCCGAGAACAAAAAAGGCCGATAATTCAATGTATACTAGTTTATTTGCAGATTCCGTTATAAAAATTCCATTTATTTTCTTTTTGATGTATTTAAAATTTAATTAGGAAGTACCCCTATCATAAATTTTAGCCGGCCAACGCAATTGAGAAAAACTAAATCACGGAATTTGTCCGGGAAAAATGACCGTCCGGCAACCCTGCTTAAAAAAAAGTACAAAAAATGAAATAATAGTACAAGATGAAGCAATCGTAGTCAACGTGTTAATATATGGTACGAGCAAATCTATCACACATCATAACATGTATCCAATGAACTCCTTAAATTGACAACATATCGATACGAAAAAATCGATTTAAAATATAAAATTAAGAAAAAATTGATTCAAAAATCGAAAAAATCGACAAAATATTGATTAAAAAAGACGTTTCTTCACCCATGGAGTCAGTGTCAGCTCCCTTATCAAGCCTGTTGATTCTGGCATCAATATTTTTACGAAGAAAGTCGAGGCTGTTGATCTGCTGCTTGACTTCAGTGCCCTCCTCCCGCCCGCCCGAGTCCTGGGACCGTAAGTGTGTCAGCTCACGACACACTAAAGTGCGGATGGCGTCGAGCTCCTCGATCTGCGCTGTCATTTTGATGACGTTCACGAACATCTCCGTGCTGATGGGGATGTCCGTGCACTGAAATATGGGAAAAGTTCAGGGAAATGGGCTGAAATAAATTAATGTTTCAAGAAAATAGACTGAAATAAGGGAAAAGTTCAGGGAAATGGGCTAGTAGATTGTAAATATGATCAATACGTATAGTACAGTTAAATTTAAATATAAAGTCCATTCAGATCACCGAGGAGGGGCAACACAAAGATTCTCGAATTCCTAATGAATTAAAAACCAAAGCGAATGTATTCTTGAAAAAATGTTTATATTTATTGAATCAAATTTTTATCAATTTAAGATAGGTACTCCCTCGTCGGGAACAAGATGAGAAAAATTTTGAGCTGATTTCACCAAAGTACAAAAACCTATAAAAAGTAAGATTTTTCCAAAGCAAAATCATGAAGATAACCAAAAAATGTTTGAATTTTGGAGCCGATTTCACCAATGTACCTATAAAAAGTAAGATTTTTCCAATGCAAATCAACGAAGATAAATAAAAAATGTTTGGATTTTGAGCCGATTTCACCAATGTACCTATAAAAAGTAAGATTTTCCAATGCAAAATCATAAAGATAATTAAAAAGTGTTTGTAATTTACCGCCCAGACGATCATCCTGTTGATCTGGTCAGGATCAGACAGCGTGCGGATCAGAGGACGAAGAACGGACGAAGCGAGCAGCTCGATGACGATGGCTTTGAGGGGCGCGTTGGAGAACTCGTCGGGCGGCAGCAGGAAATACACCACGATCTCCAGCAGGTCACTGAGGTAATCTGTGGGTAATGAAGGGTTACCGTGTCTGTTGTCACTGAGGTAATCTGTGGGTAATGGAGGGTTACCGTGTCTGTTGTCACTGAGGTAATCTGTGGGTAATGAAGGGTTACCGTGTCTGTTGTCACTGAGGTAATCTGCGGGTAATGAAGGGGTACCGTGTCTGTTGACACTGAGGTAATCTGTGGGTAATGAAGGGGTACCGTGTCTGTTGTCACTGAGGTAATCTGCAGGTAATGAAGGGGTACCGTGTCTGTTGTCACTGAGGTAATCTGCGGGTAATGAAGGGTTACTGTGTCTGTTGTCACTGAGGTAATCTGTGGGTAATGGAGGGTTACTGTGTCTGTTGTCACTGAGGTAATCTGTGGGTAATGAAGGGTTACCGTGTCTGTTGTCACTGAGGTAATCTGGGTAATGAAGGGTTACCGTGTCTGTTGTCACTGAGGTAATCTGTGGGTAATGAAGGGTTACCGTGTCTGTTGTCACTGAGGTAATCTGTGGGTATTGGAGGGTTACCGTGTCTGTTGTCACTGAGGTAATCTGCGGGTAATGGAGGGTTACCATGTCTGTTGTCACTGAGGTAATCTGCGGGTAATAATGGATTACCTGACCAAGGAGTGAATAAGTAGCAAGACATTAAATGTTATAAAACAAGACGCAAATTTCACTTGCGAGATCAACTATCGCCACTTAGATGTCCACGACCAGCCATGATAATTTCCAATATCCATGAGAATTGCCAAGATGGTCGAATCAAAACTTAATTGATAAAGAACTCCCACAGCCTTTATGGGCACAGATTTCCACGATCTCCCAGAAGGAAATCAAACCCATAACTAAATAAAAATGATGTAATACATGAAGAAATAACAATGTATAGAAGAATAAACAATAAAACATAAAAGAATAAGAAGTTATTTCCATGAGAATGCCGACCCTTCTCGGCGTAATACATGAATAAATAACAATGTATAGAAGAATAAACAATGGAATATGTAAAAATAAATAGTCACTTCCATGAGAATGCGACCCTTCTCGGTGTAATACATGAATAACTAACTAACAATGTATAGAAGAATAAACAATAAATATAAAAGAATAAATAGTCATTTCCATGAGAATGCCGACCCTTCTCGGTGTAATAGGTACATGAATAAATAACAATGTATAGATGAATAAACAATAAAAGAATAAGAAGTCATTTCCAATAGAATGCCGACCCTTCTCGGCGTCCTCCTTGAGGCAGACGTTGTCCCGACAAATGTCGCGCTCGCGCTCGGCCTCCTTGTCGAAGAAGGCCGTGACGAGGTCGTGGCTTTGTTGACGCGCCTGCACGGCCTGACGTGCCTCTCTGAACAGACGTAAGTGCCCTGCTACGTCGTCCACAAGACGTGTCGTCAGGTACGTCGCCCAGTCAGCGTTTTTACACCTGCAAATTGCGTTAATGTTGGGTTTTACTACCTAAAATAGAATGTTAGTCGTTATTTCGGCATTCTAATGCTAAAAGTGACAGGTAATTCAGTATTTCGGCATTCTATTGCTTAAATTTGAAGGTAAATCATTATTTTGGCATTCAAATGCTTGAAATGAGAATTGCGTTAAGTGTTCTTATACTTGAACTAGAATTTTAGACGTTAAATATGCATTTATTGAACCTGGAACCAATGACGCAACTAATTAGTACTGGGTAGCTGAGGTTCATATACTTGGTATTGAATTGAAAGTCTTTTCATATTCACAGCTGAGAATACATTGATGCAAATGCAATGCTAAGCACACCAGACTAGTTCTGCCCTTTATAAACGATTGCGTTCGCTAGTGTAACATTGCACATACGATAAACTAAGCCTTCATATTGTTATACTTGTATGCACGAAGTACAAGTTGTTATTATAGTCACCTGCTTGCCAGCACCACAAGGTGCCAATATTCACCTGTTTGCCAGCACCACAAGGTACCAATATTCACCTGTTTGCCAGCACCACAAGGTGTCAATAGTCACCTGTTTGCCAGCACCACAAGGTGCCAATAGTCACCTGTTTGCCAGCACCACAAGGTGCCAATAGTCACCTGTTTGCCAGCACCACAAGGTGCCAATATTCACCTGTTTGCCAGCACCACAAGATGCCAATATTCACCTGTTTGCCAGCACCACAAGGTGCCAATATTCACCTGTTTGCCAGCAACACAAGGTGCCAGTATTCACCTGTTTGCCAGCACCACAAGGTGCCAGTATTCACCTGTTTGCCAGCACCAACAGACACTGATGCAGTGAGTGATGAAGTTGGTTGGTGAAGCCAGGACTTGAAGATAGGCGGCCGTACCATGGGTAGATGAAGTCACGGAATATATATGACAGGACCTGGAAAGCAATGAAGTTAATTTTGGTTTTGAAAATTTCAAACCGATGAACGAAGACAAGACATAAAAAGCAAGCATTGTTCTCTCAAAAAAAAAAAGCAAATACGCCCTAGAACCAGACTCACAAACATATAATCTTGATGAGACACTACATACATTATAGAGCCAAGAATTGACTAGTAAGAATTCCAATGCTTTATGTAACTCCAAACTGCACAGGATAAATGTTAGAATGTTAGGAAATATCAATAGTCAATGTCCTATTATTTAAATATCAATAGTCCATGTCCTAATAGTCCTATTTACTGTCATTTTTAACTCAAAATACATGGTAAAATGTACACTCATCACCTTGCCTTACAAGTCTATATGTTTTGTACGATATGTACACTCATCACCTTGCCTTACACATCAATGTTTTGTACGATATGTACACTCATCACCTTGCCTTACACGTCAATGTTTTGTACGATATGTACACTCATCACCTTGTCTTACACGTCAATGTTTTATATAATAAACATATTTCACCTGCTGGATCTGCTCATCGATGACAGGAGAGCCTGTAATGCGCCGGTCTTGTATGTCCAGAGTCCTGCCATTGTCCTCGGACATGGAGCTTGCAACCTGTGCACAGATATCTATTCATTTACAACACACAATGATTTGAAATTGTATGCTATAAGGCAAAATATATTAAATCTTGAATAAAGTTGCCATGTTCAAGAAAAACATAGTTTTAATATATATAAAAATAAAAAAATTATTACAGTTATAAATCTAATCTTGATAGTACTACAGTAGTTGAAAAATTTTGGAATAATTTTCCCAGGAGGGATAAATAATTCATCAATTTTTCAGGGTAATAAATGGATTACATTAGTATTTTAGGGCTTAATACAGCCACAAATATGACAATGTCAACATCAGTGAGAGGAGTAAGATAGAATATTTGGCATTTTGAATTGAACAAAAATGTGAATAATTTCAGGCAGGCATATCATCCACAAAGTAAACTTACCTTGATGCCAGCATGGCACAGCAAAGGGCGGACATGTGAACGATGCACAGCGCACCACCAGCCTTCCGACTCAACAAGAAAACACCACCGCACTGACACTATGCATCTGATGCAAAAAATTAATTAATTAATTAGTAAATGTAATAATCTAGATGTAATAATTAATTTAATTTTTTTTAATTAATTATATATGATATCAAATCAGAAATAACTGCTCAATAACTTAAATAGGCTCAAAAACTATCTGTTACAAAAATGATTAACTGAATTGAATATGCTATAAATCAACAGTTCATATTCCAGTTTGATAAGCTAAAGACTTAAGTTGAAACAACACCAGTATAAACTTATTGCAACCTACCTAGCCCCTCCAAGGGGAAAGATACTAACTAAGGAATTTTTAGAAATGAACATAAAACATTAATTAATTATGCACAAAATTGAAGAAAAGTTCTCGCTAATAAACAGGTGATGTTTTGCAAATTCTCTGGCATCTTCAGATGGTAGGAGGTGATTCAACTAAAATTTTTAAATCTTCATATATATTTGTTAAAGACAGTATCCACAATGTCTATTTAACCTGCATTGTTATTGGAAAGAGAGAATTTTACCAACAAAAGTTTTCAAGGCAAATATTTGCTACCAAGTACATTACGAATTAATTAAGTAAATAAATGTAAATCATAAAATAAACAGCAAGTCCAGTCACCCAGCAAAGAAGGCAATGAGTGCCAAGATGATGGCAGAGCAGCAGTTAAATCCTAGGGAGACAACCAGCAGCACTGCACCAGCAGCCCACCACGGCCACCCAGCCATCAATGAAGCAAAACCACTTATCTGAAATTTACATGAGATGAAAATAAAAAAAAAGCAAACTTTTACCAGTACTATCTTAAAAAACACTTTTTTATTGTCAAAACATCTTTGTTTATTTCTACACAGCTTCCATTGCTACTATCAATAGTCATAGATTTTAGAAAATGAAATTTCCAACTGGGTATGAAAGCTGGCTAGCAATCATATTTATCTGGGTCTTACCTGCTATTCCAAGTACATAAACAGGAAATCCAGATACATATAAATTAAGAGAATTAGATCATATTAATGTATCCATAAAATTCAATTATTCATTCTGAAATTGAAAAATTTTATTTCTTGAAAAGTCTCACTACTCACTAGTGTCAATTAAAATTATAGATTTTTGTTTTACTATAAAAATTTCTTATATTAGCATAAAAAATCAAAGAAAACTCTTTTAAGTAAATCTGTTGTTTTTAAGGTACCTAATAAAAGTAAAAAAAAATATAAATAATAATTTAAGTTTAAGATAAACAATGTGTTGCAACCTGCAATAATAATTTTCATGAGGGTTATATATGTATTTAGATAGTTTTCAAAATAAGGCATCTATTTTCACTTTAGTTTGGTAAATGGTTTTGACCATAGTTATGGTATTTATTTTGGACCATAGTCACCACCATATACCCCTAACTGGAGACACCTGACAGAAGCAACTCACAAGTGAGCCTAAAATATCCCAGCTTGCAGACTATTTTACCCATTTCAATGGCCCTCATGCTCATAGAAAATTAAAATTATTCATTTTTGTTCAAGATTTTTGAAAGTGAATAATCTAAGATAGGTACCAGTATTATTTTTTACTAACCACAATTTTTGAAAAATTCCATTGGATATTCAAGATTGGACCATAGATGACAAATTTATCATATGTAATTTCAATTCCTAAATTTAAAAAGTGACACAGTGACATGTATGATGTAAGAATATCTTAGATTTGTCCTAATTTTTTTTAAAGGCCTCCCACACTCACCATTCCAACAAAAAAAAAAAGGAATTGATTTTATTAATTAAAAACAGGGAATGGTTTCATGTCAATGATCAGGGCCCCGACCTTAACGCCTCTGATGGTGGCCTACACTGACTCCGAGGGTCATGGAGTGTCTCGGATGTCGCCCAGCGCTGTACTTACAAGAAAAGCCATGCAGCCCTCGTGCATCCATCCGCTTTCCGCACCGACAAGAGTGGGGTTCGCATACATTTGCGCCAACTCGAAGAGCAATTGAGACGCGGAAGGAGTCGGGATCTAGAAGTGTTCCAAGAGCATCCGAATGAATAGCGTGAAGCCACAAGCCACTCTCTCTCCTCCCCGCCGCAAGTAGACAAGCCCTGGATATTTGGTCCGCTGCCTCTAAAAGCCGCGCTGCGAAGGCCGCAGCCACAGGCCCATCCCAAGTCCTCTGCCGGCCCAAACTTGCGTCCTTGGGCAAAGCAATACCTGCATTCCCATTGCGCCACTCATCCACCGCCATCTGCAAACTGTCGTCCTCAGCCAGTCATACATTATGTAAAACAATTATTTCAGTACATTGAATGATTTAGTATAAATTCTGCATATAGGTATATAAATTATGGATGAATTTTATTATCTGACAGAGCAGCTCATTTTCATCAATCTCACACTCACAGACACCACACCAGGACAGGACTGAGATTACTACATACTACTATAAAGTACTATTAGCAATTTAGCATTAGCATGATTAGGCAGTAGTAGTAAAAGCATTCCAGTCACAGAAAACAAATTTTTTCTACTGATTTTTTATGGCCCTGCCTGCCCTGGGCCAAAAACATTCCTAATTTTTTCCTAAGTTCATTATCTCATGCCAAATACTATTAAGAAATAAGAACTTCAGAGCCTATCAACCAACAATCATTAGACCGTGCCTCGAATGCCTTCCTGACAATTAGGTATGAGTTTTCCTAAGAAATAAGACTCTTAGCAATCTGATGATGATGATAGCTTGTTGGTGAAGAAGAAGTCCAGCGCAGACCACTTGTAACACCTGGACTCAGCAATGATTATTTAATGAAAGACTTCATCTTCTCACTTCAGTTGCACTCTTCTCTCTGCTGGTGCTTACTCTCCACATTGTCAGCAGTCTCTCATTATGTGTATACATGTGAGGCAAATCAGCGATAGATCCAGTGCTCTTCAGTAGCTATAAAAGCTAGGCAACCAGTTTGGGAGAGATAAGTAGCATTTGCTCGCAATTTGGAGTGCTGAACTCTTCTGGGGTAATTACCTCCACCGAGAATCACACACAGAGACATTTGAAGAACTCCCAGGGCATTCATGCTTGATACCATCACCTGTCTCTCACGGTTGTATAGGAGGAAGTGTTCAATCATATCAGGAGGAAGTGTTTAATTGTTTCTTCTACCCCACAATGCAGGCACATGGGAGTGTCAGCCATCCCAAATCAATGCAGGTAAGATCAAACCCAACATGTCCCAGACAAAGGCAATTTAAGACCACTGTAATATGGTGAGAATGACATGCTACCCATGGGACTGGAGGCAACCTTGAACAAATGGAAGCAAGATGATGACCCCTTCCATCAGTAGCCACTGCAGAAACCCAATCCAATTCCCAAAAAACTAAGATAGCATGACCAAAGCACAGCTAGGGCGTCTGTGCAAGGTAGAGGTAACAAGGCAGAGTGATGAAGGTGATGGCAATGTGGGCCTTGGCCCATTGCAGATGCACTGACTTTGATTCATTCAATCGTAAGAGCTGCTTGCGTATGTCATAGAAAAAATTACAACACGTGCTAGTAGGTGATATCAAAAGCAGCAAAGCTACTTGAGAGTCAGAACAGATGACCCATTGAGAAAAGGAGTCAGCTTCAATGAGCCTCAAGGCCTGTAGTATTAAAATCAGTTTGGAAGACGACATGTTGTGATGGGGATTCAACCTCCTAGTAACAGCTCGTTTCATGAATGGAACATAGAGACCACATGAAGTAGATGTACCATCAACAAGTTTTGAGCCATCACAGTAAATTGCCCTGTAATTTCAATATTTCTCATCCAGATGAGCAGCAGAAAAGACAAGGTATGGCGACCTCAGAACTGGATTTGGAAATCAAGACAAATGAGAGAAGACAGACTGCTCCAAGACGGAAATGGATCAAGCACAGGAGTGAAATGACCTTGACAAGGAGGGAGACCAAAATCATGCAATATTTCTGGGCCATATTGAAGAGATGAGGCCTGAGGGTGTAGCACCAAACACAACTACCTATGTCTTATATACCCATTTTGATGATATTCAAGGCAAATGTACATACTGGCAGACAGATATTGGAGCCTCAAACTCAAAGAAGGAACATGAGCCTCACTTTGGAGAGACATTATGGGTGTGGTCTGTCAAGCTCCAAGTATAAGCCATAGACAGGCATTCTGCAGGATCTCTAGCCACTTTAATTGGGCAGAAGAAGCTGTTCCATAGAGTATACTACCATAATCTATCTAGGCCCTTATGAAGTTATGAATACACAGTAAAATAGACACAAGAAATGGGAACTTGCACCCCAGTTTGAGGAAGCCATATATTTGAGAAAATCCATGTGTTGCATCACATCAACACGCAGATAAGTGAGGAAGGGGACCCGCTTGAGAAGTGGGGGCGGTGGGGCATCATCGCATCAAGCATCATTCCAAGTAGCTTATGCTGACGTCAGTAGGTATGTGATTGCTTGGTGATGATACCGCAGTACTGGTACCTTCACTCATTCAACAGTGAAATACTAGAAGGCTGTTTTTTTAATATTTACAACAAAGCCCCATGTTGAATGGCATGAATGAAACTCATCCAAATATCCCTGCATGATAGATTCAGATTTGGCAGCATCCATAGTTGGGCCTTGGTAACAAATGGTGATATCATCGGCATACAGCAGCACCTCCATGCCTGCAAGTTGTGGAACATCCATTAGCATAAGGTTGAAAAGGAGAGGACTCAATGCAGCACCTTGGACCACCCGCATACCTGAAAGGCTGCCAGCAAGGGAAGTGAATCTGACAGTACTTCATTCACTCTAACGCGAGCAGAGCCAGATGTCATTTAACTTGATTCAAGCATGAAAACACTCTCTTAGCCTGGAAACAGCTCCACTAAGTCCAGCTCATTAAGGGGGGGGGGTATACCCTCCAGAAAAACTTCCACATTTACTAACGGATCTTTCTGAAACTTCACTCATACCGGTATATGTAGGTGAAACCAAAATACAAGAACATTTTGTTCATATGATTTTTTTAAAAAAATTAATAGAACAAAAAAGGGAGTAGTACTGTGGAAATCTATCTCCTCCTAGGGTTTTCAAGGTACAACATTGAGACGTATATCATTTGATGCGTAAAGACCATACCAATCCAGGAACAAAGCCCAATTTTTTATTTTTGCCTTAGTTTTTTTACACACATTTTCCTATTTTCTTCTCATTTTCCCACCTCCCCCATTTCAAATCCTAACTATGCACAAATCTAAAAAAGGACTTTGTTACTTGATAGGTATGGTCTTTACAAATCAAATGGTATATGTCCCATCGCTGTAGCTTCAAAACTCTAGGAGGAGCAACTTAGCAAGGAGATAGGTTTGCCATGACAATAAGTGTGAATGTTCAGGAGAGCGCGACAAAGTGCTGCACGCATTGCAATTATTATTATATAATGCAATAGACACTCAATGTAGCAAGGATACAAAACTAAATGTTTCTGGAGCTTGATTCCAGTCATTCCACTTTCCACTCAAGTCTCAAGGATGGTGGCCCACCATCCTTGAGTCTGACTCAAGGATGGTCATAGTAGCAAAGCAGAGAGTTTTTTTAGACTCTCTCTCAAGTTCATTCTTGAGTCCTATAAGTAGACCAGTAAAGTATCATGGATACCAGCATCATCATACATAAGATATTGGTTCAAGTCTTGAGTAAATGAGGAAATTAAAAATGAACTGATTCTAAAAATTCTCTGGTTTGTCACTATCACTATAAACTATGATGGTGGGAGCGAATACTTGCAAACTAGTCTGGAAAAGTCCTATTTTTGTCTGAAATATTGCGGCTGCGCGGCTCTAATATCATATAATTTCAGTAGGTATGAAATCTCGCGGCTCGAATGTCATAAATTTTTGTTTGATTAAATCGTGGTTTATAAATAAATTAGAGACAAATTTTATTGTTGCCATTTGACTGTTTAAGGGTAAAATTAGAGATTTGGGGTAACACATGCATAAACTTTGTA